GAAGAAACGGCCAGGCTGGGGGGCTGAGCGCAAGACAGAAAACAAATGCTGCGTGGAATGGGTAGAGATTAAAGACAGGTCGGTATGTGAGACCAATGAGGTCCCAAGACATGCTCATCTTGGGGTAAGGTAGGGAAATGTGCAGCATGACGCAAAGCCGAAAGGCTAAAATAAAACAGCAACCCGAGAGAGAAGCTAAACAACAATAAAGCTCATGACGAACCTCGATTCCGGACCATCTTGCCAGACATTCAGCTCGCCCAGGTATGAGCCGCCTGAGACACCCGCCGAGGTAAGGAAAAGGCCAAGAAGCCGAGGGATGCAGACCTCTTTGGTCGTGGTATGCCGTAATATGGCCAAATGGTGCACGGAGGGACGTGGTCGGCGCTGTAGAAGAAACAAATACTAGCTGCGTCCTGAACAGGGTCTAGGGAGGCGCTGCGGTGGGAGAAGACGCCAGTACTGCAATTAGGCCGACGGTTTCGACTGCTGAGACTGTGGGTATGGTGAGTTGAGTCCAGCCAACAAACAAGACGAAACAGAAGCGGGTGAAGAGAAGGAAAGTTCGGGGGAAGATTGCAGAAGAGGTCTGTTATCAAAGAAGCGAAGAAATGAAGAAGGTAAGTAGACGCACACAAGCCTGGACAGGGGGCTTGAACCGGCAGCTTCGGTGCCTCTTTCTTGCCTTTGCCGTTGACCGTATTACTTAAAATAAGATGCGGTAGGGGAGAATCGGGAATTGGCAGCGGCGGTGTTGAAGGTGTCTCATAAGCCACCCACTTTATACCAAAAAAAACAACAACCCGAGGCCGATGCAAGGAAAAGCAGAGAGGTCCGATGTCCTTGGCAAAGAGACTGTGTGTCCGCTTTAAAACCCGAGAGGAAATGGGCTACTCACTGTGTTAAGAAGGTGACTGATGGGGTCGACTCTTTAGCGGCGGATGTGTCGGTCTGCTAGAAGACGCAAGCTGGTGGTGCGCATGGCAGGGCCCGCTCGACTTTAGCCTCTTTTTACCTATCTACCTATTATTCGCAATAGGCAACTGGAGTCGATTGGTGCCAATGGGGCGACTGGGCTGGGACGGAAGAAATAGAGGCGGATTGAGGTGGTTGGTAAATAATGGCTTCGGGGACTGGTCTGGTCTTGATGACGGCACCAGCAGCCACACACACCTTCTTTTCCGCAACGGTGAGAGAATTATTGGTTGTGTGTGCACCGATTGGGTATTATTGACAAACAAGAGGCGGGGAGGCGGGATATGAATCCAAACGCTGGTGCAAGTTGCTTGTTAGTCTGGGTTGTCGTTGGTTCTGATCAAGCGTGTAAGCCTGATTAGCCACCCCAAGAACTTTGTTCAAGAACACAAGGTAAGATAGGTGGGTAGGCGTGGTGTTGGTGTCAGTGCTGGTGGTGGTGGGGAGGGACGGAAACCAAGCTATCATGCGCCAAGTGATCTCCTGGCCGCCTGCAGCGAAATGGTGATGATGACGACCTCTCAAGTAGATTGTGAGGTGATTGACTGAACAGAAAATAAGAATGCAAATACGCAACGCTGTTTGCGGAGACTGTGGCTACACAGACAGGGCGGCAGGAATAATCAGACGGATGGGAATAGAGGAAGACCGTAAAACAAGGTAGAGGCTTGGGATGACACACCTACGTCACGAACCCAGGCGGCTGCTTCAGGTTTGTGAGGTGGTGAAGGGTGGATTTGACAGGAATAGCATTGCATAGCATTGACCAATCTCGACGACAACAAAGCAGGTGATAGAACATACCGGAACTAACGCAAAGGCGTTATTTGCACATCAGTTTCTTTGGAAAAGAAAAAGGGAGCGAGAATAGACAATGGATTAAGAGAGCGGGAAGGAGGACACTTTTTGCAAGATGCTTTCGCCGCAAAAATAAGAATCAGCTATTTTGAGAGGGGCTTCCGGGGGGTATGGTAACACCAGCTACAGCACGCCTCAGGTACTAATACGAGCCAGATTCACGGGGGGATACGATCTGGGCTGCATCCTGGTACAGCTGTGCCCTGGATCCGCAAGTACCGTGCTCCCGCTGGCGGTTGCTGCTGTGCCAAATCCAGGACAGCGCTTGGTTAGACTCTTACTTTGAAGTATCCATGATGTATGACCAGCCTTTCCGGCTGGCAGCCAAGACATGATCACAGGCTTGGCTGGTGGCATGACACGACGACCACGAGGGCTGTTGTCGCGATACCGATAGCGACGGGCATTTCATGATTCCCGGTGGCCCATCAGTCCGTACCTAGACTATCGATAATCCTGGCAGCAGACCCATACCTGGTCGTCATCACTTTCACCGATGAACCGAACCGCCAACAAGCGAGCATGCCATTCGAGAACGTGATCTTTCCCCGGCTGCCTGTCTCTCCATCCACACACTTATAGCCGCTAGAAACAAGAAGCCACCTGCGCCTACCAAGTACCCGGCGGTAACTAGTGCTAGGAACTTCCTTGCAAGACAGGTATTGTCTTGGCCCAGGATGCCACTGGCATTGGCTCTCCAGATATTTTTCCCTCTCATCTTCCCCTACGTTGTTTTACCTTGCCATTATGCACTTGTAACGTGAGCTGTTTTCCCCACGACCACACAGCCCTACAACTGGTCGAGGCGAAACCCTCTCCCTCCTCTCAAGGCTGGTTACTTCCCTCGCTGGGCGCTTGCTTCAGGCGGAGACTCACGAACCAGTCGCAGCGTCTGTTTCGCCGCATGCAGGTACCTGAATGGCTGCTTGCTGCAGAGAGACGAAAAGTTAAAGTGGACTTGCACTGGAAAAAAGGAGGGCTCCTCTGCGTTGTTGGCACTTGATTGGCGCACCCGGCGTGGTTATGCGAAAAGCTCCATGAAGAGGAAAAAGTAGCGGCTTTCGTCTGGTCCGCCATCTGCTAGCCTGTAAAGTGTCCGATAATCTTGCTTGCGCTGCCAACTTGGCGAGCTTGGCTTCTGACGGCACCGCGACCGCCTCGTTCTCTCCAGAAGAGAAGCCTCTTCTTCCTCAGGGAGGGGTGGAGTTATCATGGCACCTCCCGACCCAATCCAGCCAAGTGCCCTGCTTCCTACCCGAGTAGGTTGGCTGATATGACTAAGGAATCGGTGGCTCGTTGAGACACATCCGGCCCCCAGATTAAAGTGTTCGAGGCTTTGAGTTGTAGATGGCAACGCAAGCGGACTAGCGGGATGAGGCAGTGCAGCCATGGGTGTGGCAGTATTGGTCGTAATCGCTGATGGCTTGATCCAAATTCCTACACAGCAATTGACTTCTCGGCAGACGCGAAGCTGATGGCGAATACGAACAACAAAGAAACGGCAAGAAAACGGCCATTGTCGCGCGGCATTGCCATCAAATGATCAAACCCACCTAAAACTTACGTGTCCCTGAGCTTGGAGAGAGCCGTGGGCCAATCACCCCCGATTTAGAGATGCGATCCCAGACAACGACCTGAGAAAGGAAGATCTACATCTTGGCGGCGCTTAGTCAGAGCTGGTCTTGTCGTGTAGACGCGCCTCAGCGCTTCCTTCTCGTAATACGCCGGATGACATAGAAGCCGATTCTGTTCATAATTTCAACATTCACGTCGGGAGACGTAATGACTCGTCAGCTCGGCCGCAAGATACTACCAGAGTTGGTTATCAAGGTGCCGGACTGTCCGGACCTTGCTGGGAGACCACTGATCTCGACCAAAAGCGGAACGGCAGGCTAAATTGACAGCCTGGGTGTCGATGCCAACCTCGTTGACACCCCTTTTGGCTTTGGCCCCATCAGGCTTGCGCCAGGATGAAGCGTGATTGGCAAATCCGCAACATGGGGGGATTATGAGGCTGGCCCGACTTAAGGGAGGTTCAAGTAGAGGACAACCTCTACGTCATTGGTCTACAGCAGCCATTCTCGCAGTATCGCGATGCTGGCTACCGTTTATCCCTCTTCGATTATCTCGATTGGATCTGGATGGCTTTGTCGATTCCGATACTTGAAAACCATCACTCCTTAGTGCTCATTAGTCTCGGCTAGCTCTTTGTTTCGTCAATTGGCGTGCTTCCCTTTTGCACTACACCCCGCTGACTACATCCTAACTTTATCATTCACTGCTCCATGAGCTGGCGTCGATGTCGTCAGTGAAGCCTTCGTACGCGCGGACCTCGCCCATCATCATTATACACCACTATGGCTTTAGTGTCCCCCGATTGAGCTGTAGCCTACACTAGATAGAAATTTATGTGGCCAGGCCGCAGCAGGATTTGTTGTCCTCGAGGCAGCGTCTATTGCATCCGTCAACGATATGCCGACGCAGGTTGAGTTGCCCAACTTTGACACGACTTGGTGATCCACGCGTGTGCGTGCCATTGTCTACTTGAAGCCTCGACAGCGATTTATATATTCGCCTATGCCAATAGGTGTGGCCCGGCTGCTAGTCTTGGCCCCCAATAGCTCAGTAATAAGCTTCACACAAGCTAGAAACATCTGTCGAAGAGCGGAAGAATCGAAGGCCGGCGAGTGGGAGCCGGTTGCCGGCAATGCTGAATTGGACCAACTCAAAATTAAGAATCTCACCCAAATTCCAGCTCCCAGGTCGGCAAGAACACTTGGTCGCGCAGCAAGTGAGCATGACTGTGGCTGATATCCGTCACGTGTTAGTCATACAGATTGACAGGGTCCTTATCGCTCTCGAGCAATGGCCTACTTAGATGTATGATGTCGTATCGCAGTGTATCCTTTTTGCCCTAGGAAATCCCAATCGCGGCATTTGAACTTTGCGAGCTTGAACAGCTCACATATCAATTCTCCAAACCGCAAACGCTGTGATAGAGTGCGCGTAGAAGCACACACGGGGCCATTTGTCGACGCCCCATGGTTCGCATGCGGCCATCTCATCGCCATCTCACCATATTAAGATCGCTATCGCGAGCCCAGCTATCCTGCAACGGCCGGTTATGGCGGGACTGTAGCTTTGACAGGCGGTTTGCCTCGTCACAGGTATCGGCCGAATCATCTGAGGACCATAAACCGAGCTTGCCATTCAGATTCGATACTGGCGTTGCACTTTTTGCCAAACGAACCCCGCGACCGTTCCCCCCTCCCTTTCTCTCCCCGCCCTCGGCCTCCTTTTCGGATGCTCTCAGCACCCACCACCGAAGCCGCGACCGGGTAAATATCAATGGCGAATTATTACGAGGCCAGACCAACGGCGACGATGCCGTCTTTGCGAGCGACTACTTCCTATGTGCGAATGATGGTGTTGGGGCTTGGGCAACGAGACCTCGAGGTCATGCAGGGTGCGTATCACGAGGTCGCCGGGTAAACATGTGATAGTGTCACTAAGTTTTATTTATGTGGTTGTGTGCACACAGGCTATGGTCACGCCTCATACTCCATTTCTGGGCCTCTGAGATTGACCAGGATTTGATGCAACCCGATGCGGAGCCCAACCCGGTTGCGACTCTCCAGACAGCGTATGAGCGGACCCTGGAGGCTACCAAACTCCACAACTGGCAAGGAACAACAACCGTCTGTGGTGCCCAGCTTCATTACACGGTTCGAGACACTACGTCGAGGCACCGGGAGACGATACCATTGCTCTACGTCACGAACCTCGGCGATTGCCAAGTTATGGTCCTTCGTCCGCGAGAGCAGGAGATTCTCTATAAGACGAAAGAGCAATGGCATTGGTTTGACTGCCCTCGCCAGCTGGGCACCAACAGCCCCGACACCCCCGAGACGAATGCTGTTGTAGACACCGTCGACATTGAAGTTGGCGACGTGGTTCTCGCGATGACTGATGGTGTCATTGATAACCTGTGGGAACATGAGATTGTTGACATAATATTCAGTTCTCTCCGTCAATTGGAGCCCGAAAACTCCGAGAGAGGCCCCGAAACTCAACCAGGCGAAGGTGCTCGTGATATAATGAAGACCGCAGCTCAGAACCTGGTTGCGGCTGCCAAGCGGGTTGCGATGGACCCATATGCTGAGAGTCCCTTTATGGAACATGCAATCGAGGAAGGACTCGCGAGCGTAGGAGGTAGGTTGAGTCTTTCATTGTCCCAACTATCCGCAATGCTTTGCACACCCCTTACATGCCAATAGGGAAACTCGACGACATTAGTGTAGTTGCCGCACTATGTGTGAAGAATGAGTAGGGTGAAGTAAACCCGGGTTTTGGCAGACTCCAGAACAACAAAAGAGACAAGCCGTCTTCCCACTCCAGCAACGGAATATGAAAACATATGGCATTGCGACAATAATTATGACTTAATAATACACCTTTTTTTATCGGCTTTCATAGGGCAGTAATAGGATCAGAAACTCTATAGATTTTCCAATTGAATGAAAGTTTGGACGAGAGGACAAGACGGGATACGCCTAGGTGACAGAAAAAATGAGACACCAAATTGAAGGGCGACCACTTTCTAATGACCAGAATACTTCTGCAGTATAAACCGATATACGTCAATGATGCTCAGTGTATTATCTCTTATATATTTATTATTAACACCTAATAATCTAATAATACCAGTCGCAAACTTGAAGATGCTCGCTTGAGTGTCCAATTCAATGTCGCTCTGCAGATCTTATCGGTGGTGGGCTTAGATAACGGTTGCATGCAAGGCTGATTGGCGATAAGAAATTTATTTTTCCAGACTTCATTCCATCCATCGCATTTTGCCAGCGCTTGTGCAAGCTTCCTCCCAGCTTTTTCAAGACCTGTCGCGGTCGCGCATCTGACGAAGTCGTATCTTCTCGGTCAATTGAAATTACCTACTTGCTATTTCATCCCACATCGCCACCATGAGAGGCAAGCGCTCCAAGCAGTATCGGAAGCTCATGGAGCAGTTCTCCATGACCTTCGGCTTCCGCGAGCCATACCAGGTTCTTGGTAGGTCCTACACAACTGCCAGTATAGCGTTTTAATCTTGCTAACTTATTCAAAGTGGACGCGGAGATGGTCAAGGACTCCTGTCGCTTCAAAATGGATTTGAATCCTGCCCTAGAACGGACAGTACATGGAAAAGTGAAAGGGAGTACGTTGTTCCACCAATGGAGAATTTTCTACGGCCACTGGGCTGACATACCATGCAGTGATAACACAATGCGAGATCAGAAAGCTCTACGCCCAGAAGAACGAGCCTGGAGGCAACGAGGCGATCGAGCTCGCCAAGGCGCTGGAACGCCGGAGATGCGGCCACCACCCCGATCAGTATCCCGAACCCCTCTCAACGCAAGAGTGTATCCTGTCCGTGATCGACCCTAAGGATTCGGGACAGAACAAGCACCGCTACGTCGTCGCCAGCCAGGATGTGGAAGTGAGGAGGAAACTGCGGACTGTCCGTGGCGTACCGTTGATATATATCAAGAGGAGCGTCATGATCCTCGAGCCTATGGCAGACGAGAGCGCGCAGGCCAGATTACGGGAGGAAAAGATCAAATTCAGGGCAGAGATCAAGAATGCGCTGGGGAAGAGGAAGCGCAACGGGGAGGATGACGACGACAAGAGCGACAGTGACAGCAACTCAAAGCCCAAGGATCAGTCATCAGCTGCGGAGGAGAAGAAGAAGAAGAAGGCCAAGGGCCGCAAAGGTCCCAACCCGCTCTCTGTGAAGAAGGCCAAGACGAAGCCCGACGCGACACCAAAACCCAAGGACAAACCTGAAAGTACAGCCGCAGCGAACTCAGAAGCAGACGGGCCAGCGAAGCGCAAGAGGAGACGGAGGGCCAAGGCGGCGGGTGACAAAGCCGAACCGGACGAGGGTGTAGCAAAGGTACAGGCGACCGAAACCGAGAGCTCGTGAGCGGAGTCGCAGTGTTGCGACAGGCCCGGATTCGCATGTCTTGACCAAAAGCAGAACAGAACTGCTGACCATGTTCGTGTCTTCTCCAGCATTATCGATGGTAGGAGGAATATCTGATGTCAGACTCATTCGTACATACACATACAAGCCAACCTAATTGCATACAAAAATACACCATCAGCGCTAGAAGTAATGCAAAAAGTGTACTCCGAAATAATAGCGATGTAGTTGTGCATGGGCATGAACAATAGCGATCACATGGTGGGTTATCAGACCGGCCCGCACGCGGCGTCATTAGAGGAAGCATTAGGTGGGGGTGATTTCATTTTGATGAGCCCCAGGGCCGATTGCTACGTAGTGCTGCGTATAACGCCGGTTAGTGGCAGGTCACAGGCGCTAGTGATGTTCAAGTCCCGGTTGCAGTGCACTAGACCCGCCACACACTTGCCCCTCCAGGCCCCCAGCACGACTTTTTTGCGATGGGTTGCAGCAGATAGGGGACAGGTGGGCTGTCACATACAGGGCATCAGCACTGTCCTGCATCCAACTCGCCTCCTTTACCGACACACCGACCAAACACTTTGGTTCTGTCAATCATATTTCCTTCTTGTCTTGCGCCATTCTTCATCCTATATTCCGACCAGGTCACGTCCCATCCAACCCCATTGCGCTTTGCACTCCGAATCAAGGGATGGATGCGGACGTGGAGTGTTAGACGTATCTACAACTGGCGGCCTCTTCTATAACATCATACAGCATCTCTTTCAATATGACCAAGGCGGAGGGCCAGCCCAACGGCGCCGAGAGCCCCGCGCCCACGAACCAAGCCACGGCATCTCCGCCAGGACAGACGGTTGTTGAGACGGATGATTTCGGTTTACCCATCCGACGCATCGTTCCCCGTACTGTGTCGCAAGATCACGGCTCCAGCGGAACAGAGGAGGTCAGCGGTCAGACTGCTACGGGGCCCCAGAGTGGGAAGCAGAATGGCGAAGGGAAGAAGGGCAAAACTGTGTCGACAGTGACCGAGACTACAGAAGTGGTTGAAGATGGCGAGAGCTCCGGCAAGAAGGCCAAGGCCGACCAACAGGCTGATGGCTCGACCTCAAAGTCCGACACCAAGCAGGCCGACACAACCGTTGTGGCGAAGAGGGAGTCTGTCTCGTTTGCCGAGAAAAGGAGAAGCTCCTTAATGGGAGGGAAGAAGAAAGGGCACGCCCACAAGGCCAGCATCGTGAGCATTGCTAGCAACAATGACCATGGTGTGTCGGAGCACTCCCACCAGCAGCTCTCGACACAGAAGGAGGACGAGAAGGACGATGCGATTGAGACCTGGCAAGAGATGCCATCGTATGCTCGGTACGATATGTACGACGACAATGACAAGCTGATCGCTCGAGAACACGATGAGGCCAACGATGATGACGTGTACGGCTACGGAAATCTCGGAGGGGCTGGCAAGGGATACACGAGGGTACAGATGGATGAAGATGCAGAATCCGCCAACAGCATAGACGACAACACCCAGTATCTCTTCGGGGAGGGCTATAAAGGCACAGCTATGGCCGTTGAGGATGAAGAGGAGGCTCGAGATGCGGTTTCCCAAATGCAAGCCACCAAAGACCTTCTCACAGAAGGTCAACGTATAGCATATGTGGGCATCGTGCGGTTAGAGATTGTGAAGCAGCTTCGGGATCTCAAGAGGATAGAGCATATCGATTCATCCAAGAAAGTGAAGAAGGAAATCATGCATGCCCATGAGGCCATGGCCATGTGGGGGCAAAAGATGATGCTTCGTCTGTACGCTCACATGGATATTAACGAGGCGGAACAGGTCATGATTGAGCAGCTTGCGGAGCATGGTGTCATCACCGCGGACCTCACGCCCACCCTCATGGCTAACGCTAGAGTTCGCAACCCTATGGCCGACGCGATGAAAGAGGAGGAGACTGAAGAGACCAAAGGCGAAGAAACCACAAACGGAAAGGGGAAAGAGGCCGCCCCACCATCTTATTCTGAAGGTGAGGGCGGCCCATCGACGCCAAACAACGATGATGAGAAGGGTTTGAAATCGCCTGCAGTCACGGATGATACCCTTGCTCCTCCGCCTACTCCCAGGGAACGAAGCAAGACTCCTGTCGAGAAAATCAAGACTATAGATGACGAAATGCCTGCAACGCCACCCCCACCCTACCAGAGCATTGACATCCAAGATATGCCGGAAGTAAAGACGCCCACTCAGTTACCGTCGACGGAGAAGATCGACATCGATTTAAGATGGACAATCCTGTGTGATCTCTTCCTAATTTTAATATCGGACTCTGTCTACGACGCTAGATCAAGAACATTACTCGAGCGCGTTGCCGAGAGTCTGGAAATCAACTGGGTTGACGTTTGTCGATTCGAGAAACGTGTCACGGATGCTTTGGAAATGCAACAAGCCGCCGACAAGGAGAACTGGAACGAGGACGAGCACCTGGATAACCGCAGAAAGGCAGCACTCAAGAAGCGATATATGGTCATGGGCTTAGCAACTGTTGGTGGCGGATTGGTAATTGGTCTATCGGCCGGTCTGCTGGCCGGTCCAATTGGCGTCGGTTTGGCCGCTGGGTTTGCCACCATCGGTGTCGGTGGCACCAGTGGTTTTCTCGGTGGTATAGGAGGTGCTGCCATCATCACATCGACCTTTGCTGCCTCTGGAAGCTACATTGGTGGCAAGGCTGCCAACCGACGGACAGGCGCCGTCAAGACTTTCGAATACCGACCACTCCACAACAACAAACGTGTCAATCTGATCGTTACTGTATCTGGTTGGCTTACTGGCAAGGTGGATGACGTTCGTCTCCCCTTCAGTACTGTTGACCCCTTGATGGGTGACATCTACTCTGTCCTCTGGGAACCCGAAATTCTCCAGAGTATTGGTGACACTATCAGAATTCTAGCTACGGAGGTGAGTTCAGATGCAAAGGCCCCCTTGTGACGGACCGTGATGTTCAATTTGCTAACACCGTATCAAAAGGCCCTGACAACGAGTATCCAACAAATCCTCGGTGGTACCATTCTTACCGCGTTGATGGGTGCCATTCAACTACCCTTAATTTTAACCAAGTTGTCATATCTGATTGATAACCCTTGGGCTGTTTCACTTGACCGAGCGATGTTGGCCGGCAAGATCCTGGCAGACTCGCTGATAGAACGAAACCTTGGTGCCCGCCCCATTATCCTCGTTGGTTATTCTCTCGGCGCCAGGGTGATCTTCTCATGCTTGCTTGAGTTGGCCAAGCGAGGTGCGTACGGACTTGTACAAGATGTCTACCTGTTCGGATCGCCTATTGTGGTGAAGAGGGAGGAGTATTTGCGGACACGTACAGTGGTTACGGGACGCTTTGTGAACGGCTTTAATCGTAACGACTGGATTCTCGGCTACCTTTTCCGTCTTACCAACGGTGGTATTCGCCGTGTGGCAGGGCTGGGGCCGATCGAGGAGCTACCATGGATTGAAAATTTTGATGTCACGGACATTGTGATAGGACACATGGAATACCGTACAGCCATGCCCATTCTACTGATAAACTGCGGATGGATGGTGGAAAGCGAGGAGTTTACTGAAATCGAGGATCCTGATCCCGAGGGCCATGATCAACGGCAGAGAGAATTGATCAGCGAGATCGAGGAGGCCCGGCGAGCGCTCGAAGAAGAGGGCAAAGCAGCCGCAGCGAGCAACAAGAAACCCGGCATGTTTGGAGGTTTCTTCAGTGGGAAGTCGAAGGCGAAGAAACAGGAATGGGAAATCTACGAAGAGAAGGGAGCGAAGCAAGCTATACCCCCCGACTCGAAAGAAAAAGATAAGGATGCGGCGTATCAGGGGGCACTCTTTGATGTGGATGCTATGCGTGCAGAAATAGCAAGTGGTGTTACGGAAGAGACCGGTTCAGACCCCAAGGGATCAGAGAATATTCAGATCAAGGAGATTGAATCAACTCTGCCGCCCATGTCACTGGATTTGCCGCCCCCCTTGAAATCTAAACCACAGCAGACGGTACTGGTCGTAAAGAGCGCTGGAGCTCCAAGCACCCCCAGACCCGAGGCTGACGAGGTATCGATGGTATTCGACACATCGTTTAGAGATAAACCTCCTCCGCCGCCGCCCAAGGATGAGTTCTCCAAACGTCCTGTTCCAGTAACATCACAGACACTTCCTAATATAACACTAAACGACCCGTGGGCAGACGACCCTGACGATGAAGAGTTCGGTAAAGAGAAGGAGATATCAATGACTTTCGCATAGCCGTCGCCGGCTGGGAAGTTCCTTACACCCAAAGGAAGGCTACCCTTCCTCCTCTTTGTGCATACGAGGGTTACGCGGCTAAGCGGCGCAACTCGGATTGACTTTACACTAGGCTTCTTTCTACGGACTCCTGGGGAGTTGGGCATTTGTCTTTTATTCTGATTGTCGACGCAAACGCGCCTGTCTTGTTTAATTTCGCAACGCCCAGAATGAATCTGTATGACGAGGAGGTTTTGGTTCTGATAACACCAGCATAGTCCACATAGATTAGCTTAATACGTGCATACAAAGAATACCTACTTAAGGAATATTGTAATACCACTCCACGATTTTTTTTTGGGAGCACCGCCATGTCCTCGGCTTAGGATGATAATCAACTTCCAGGAGAGTCTGTATTCGGTCCCGGGCAATCAGTGATGACGAGCTTCCAATACCACCAGGATGAAATCGTATCACTATCCACGGTCGGCGTGAACTATTAACGGTAGGTGCGAGAGACATCCTATTAAAACCTAACCTGGCAGAGACAGACAGCTGAAACACGGCCCGATATGAATCGAGGGGACGTCATAGGACGAAAAGTCCCAAGAATAGGAATCGACGAGATCGAGGTCCATGAGTCCCTGCTAATTCCCGCCGAAGCTACAGGAACCCGGTAGTCACGCTGGGAATCCTACTGCTACGGGACGAAGGAGGGGGGACTGTTACAGTTGTCAAAGGCCCATTTGGTGATTTCAACTGCCACCACGGTCGCAACTGGCGGGAGTCAACTGCCGGCACTGGCGCGCGGCGGGGGGGGTGAGTTTCAGAGATCGGAGGATGGGCACCCGTTTGTGTTTGGCCGCTTGGGCTGGCCTCGTTTCGGCTAGGGATTTGAAAAAGCGCGAGATATGATGCGACGCTGGTACAGTCATGGACCAAGACCGGACGGGCGATGTGGAGCGAGGTTACATTGGGGAATATATTTCGAAGTGAGAGATCAGACTTTTGACAGGATCAGGGGAGGGGTTTGCTCGGGCCCCGGTTTTAGTGAGATGATTATATTTTGTAGGTAGGATGCTTATTATTCGAAGCCACGGGGATTGAGAGAGATATGATCTAGTTGAGAAGAGCGAGAAGAGAGCAAGAAATGAGTTTCCTCAATCCCTCTTGCTAGGGAGCGGCGGCTGGGCAAGGGTCGCATGGCAGCATGTCATTGAGTCTAATGGGAGGATTTACTCATGTCTGAAGCATAATGAAACAGGGTTTCATCTAGACAACGGCTCCAAAATAGGAATCTCACACAGATCACATCAGGGACAGAAGATCATAACCGAGACCCGAAGTCGAAGGAGGCTTTGCCCTCGGGTGCGAATGGATAGAAGGCCGGAGAAGACAATGCGCTGGTAGCGGGCGCCTAAATAGGGTCTTTGGGCATGCGCGAAGGGGCGATCCAAAAGAACCTCAGACATACATGGCCACGGCGCATGGAGAGGTGAGGAGAGGTGAGAAGGCTGACAATTGATTGGTCATGTGGTGGAGCGGCGATTGTCTCTGCTCTGAGCGCGCGCGCGAAATACAATGTAAGAGGCGGCGAGGATCGTATCCACTGGGCAATACGGCATTTGATTCAATTGGGCGTGGAGCGACATTGCGAGAATAAATTGTTGCTTCCCAGGATTCCCGTGTTAAATTGATCGCTGATTGCGACGAGCTGGGGGAAGCTCCAACTGCCCATGTCATGATGACTTGCCCTGCCACTAGCGCAGTGAGGGTTCGGTTCGCAGGCACATGGCCAACGGCGGCCAGAGAATCGAGAAGTCGTTGGGCCAGCTATTCATTGATTATTGGAAGCCATTCTGGACTTAAGATTTGACGGCTCAGGCTCTCTGGAATACCAGTGGCTCAGCCGTACCGGCCTAACAGCAGCTTGAGGGCGCGGCGAAGAAGGAGGAGGCAGGGGTGGGGATTCAGCTCCTTCTCTAGAGCGTACTGGCTGCTGTCAGCCGCACCCTAGTGGCCCTAGTGGATCAGACCCTGAAGCGGGCAAGCGGGTGACATTGAATTTCACTGTCAGCATTCTACTCTACGCTAGAACTATCAGGTTATCGAGTGATAAGAATGAGTATTCAACCGTGAATGCACGGAATATTGTTAGTTGATTCGATTTATACTACCGATACCGAGCCATTCTGGTCATGAAAGGTTGTCGCCCTTCAGTTGGGTCTTTCCTTCCTTATGTCAAGTTGCGGGATCGTGCTCTTTCCCGCTATGGGATTGTCCGCCAAGCAGCCTAGCAGCGCTAGCAACTTAGCTCCGAAACGGACCCCATGCCCATTCCGCTCCCACGAGAGGTGGCATGTATTCTTTGTGTGGCAGCAGCCTCCAAGGGTACCTGAGATCTCCCCCACTTCCAGAGCTGGCCCTACGAGGATCCGGGGGCAGGCGTCTACGATTGGGCCACAAGGCACTGCCACAGGGGCCATTGGCCCACATGCGGGGCGGGCGTTCTATTTTCTGCAACAATCAGTACGTACAGGGCCACAGCTCGCGGCACGGGGCATCCATGTGGTGTTTTCTTCCATCCATCGACCTCCGCCCTCCATCGCCGTTGCTGCGCTGTACCGTACGAGTCCGAGTACCTCCCTGGCGCCCCCGAGCGACAGCTTCCACCGTAAAGGATTGCCCGGGAGAGAGTGCATGATTCGATTGATAGCCGTACATGCAGACACAGTGGTTGCCGTCGTCCTGCCATCATCATCATGCCCTGGCCATCCTGGTCGGCGGCCTACAACTCTCCAAGGCCGAGGGAGGGGACGAGTCTGACTGCGGTGTCGAGGTACTTTGCGTGAGACCACATGCCATGTATTACCTACCCATTTCCTGCGCTGACCACGCCAAAGCACATGCGTCCATGGCTGAGCCTTCTGCTGACGGGCTCTCGCTACGCTGCACAGCGCATGTACCACGTATAGGGCTCCTAGCCGCTCTAAAATGCTAGGCCCGTGCCAAGGACCCAATACTTTGTGCTTTGCCTCCAGATAGTACGGCTGATCGCACCGTATCAAATTAATCAACTGTAGCACCTTGCCTAGCGGGATGGTGGCACGCCAGCCAGTCGAGCCCTCCGGCTGGGAACCAAATCAAAACGCACAGGTGCTTGCTCCCGGACCTAGGCCAGTCTCAAGCTCGGGAATGGCGAGAGCTGAGTGACCGATGGATGGGAGTTTTGGTGCATGGGTGGTGTTGGAGAGGTGGACGGGTCGCAGGCGCGAGACCCTCATCCAGCCTTGCCGCCCAATCGTGACCGGGCCTGGGGCCCCTCCAACCCCCCGGCCTTGGTCTTACGTCTTACGTGCTGTAGCGTAGCCCAGAGAACTGCAAGACTAGTCCGGCTTGGGCCAGTCCATGCATTATGCATTCGAGACTGGAGCCAACCAAGGGCCTCCATGTTTTGCCCTTCTCTCGACCGCTCCCCTCCAGAGACATTCTTTTCCTCCCTACCCGCCTGCCTCATGCTTGGTGCATGCTTTGCTTTTGCTGTTGCTGTTGCTTAGCTTAGCCTAGCCTAGAGATTGGTTTCGCTTTCTCTCTATCTGTTTCTGTTATTCAGATGCCCTTTGCGGGCCATCATCAGCATTCGACATCACCGACGATAATACCGACGACCCGATCTCACGCCCAGTTGCTCGAATTTTTAGATTACGGTCTACCTCAACTTCGTTACGACAACTGTACTTCTAGAGGGGAAAGGAGAGGACATCAACCGTTCCAATGGAGGATTGGCGCGTCGTGGTGAGGCAGGACCACGGCCAGAAGACGGCGAGCAATGACCCAAATGCGGTAATACAGACCATCACGAACCCAACAAGCACGGCTGGGGGACCGGGAGGACAGCTTCCACCCTCGACCACGAGCAGTCAGGCAGCGTCCGTACCGTCGATTTCGACCAACTACGTCACGTTCAACGAAGAGAAAATATTCACCACCGACAACACGTTTAACGATGGCACTTCCGACCGCATATTCGTCGCAGATTGGATGAAACTCAATGCTGTAAACTTCACCTATTCTTGGGAGGATAGCAGTTTCGAGCCCCTCAACGTATCATTGATAGTGGTGAACCAAAACAACAAGGATGTCGACCACACAAACGTCAGCGCCTCAAGCAGCTCATCGCTCTCTTTAACAAATGGGTCTATAAAGTTCAATTACACCAAGTTGACTGAAGGCGCAGAAGAGGGCCAAAGCAGCGCACAATCCAGCGTGGACGGCTTCGTCCTCGCCCTGGACATGTATTGGCAGTCCAAAGGCAAATCTCTCATTGGACATTCCTACTCCCCGTACTTTGGTATCCTTGCAAATGCAGAGAGCTTCAGAGCTAGCAACCTTCAGAATACGATTGCCACGTACGGGACTAACAAGGACGGTCGGGATGCCGACGTCACCACGGTTGCCATCCCATCAAGTAGCAGCAGCAACACGGCCAGTGACGGCCACAGCAACCCCTCGAGCGGCGGCGGCGGCGGCCTAAGCACAGGAGCCATCGTGGGCATCGCCATCGGTGGCGCGGCCGGCCTGGCCATAATCGCCCTCGTCGCGTGGTTCCTGCTCCGGCGCCGCAAGAGCAAGTCCCAGATCGTGGACACGCACGGCGCCTCCAACGCCTACATCGCGGACAAGGACTCGACCGCCCAGTCGCCGCAGTCCCCCTACGCCGACGACGTCATGCACAACCCTCGCGCCGACAGCTCGTCCCTCCACAACGCCCACGCCGACAACGTCCCCGGCCCTCGCGATGGCAGCGGCACGGCGACGCCCTCGGGACTCTCGCGCAACGTTGCTCATCTGGTCGAGGAGGGCATGACGGCGGACGACATCGCGCGCCTGGAAGAGGAAGAGAGGCAACTCGACGACGAGATCGAGCGCGCGGCCAGCCAAGCAGCGAGGCGGTAGGACAAGAGACGAATGGCCAAAAAAAAGCGACCTTTTTTTCCCGAAATGTGTATTCATCGTGTTTCTTCTTTTGCGGTGTTCCCGGCGTTGTACCATCTTCATGTCTCATGAGCGGGGTCGATTTCGATATCCTTTTTGCACTTGTTAATTTTCTCACATATATTGGTCGGTCGATATGGGATGTTGTTCATCTTTGATTTTTTATTTATTGGTTATGCTTCATGGTTGTCGCTTCCTTCCCCTCCCCCCATCTTTGGCGTTTGCTGGGCATATAGCTATGTCTTTCTGCCTCTTTTTAGTCTATTCGCATGCCAACCTCCAATACCTCGTTTTATTGTTGGCCCTGGATCCTCTTACTCAGGGGATCGATGGGGCCGTTTCACTTGGTGTGAGGGCATAGTTGCTCGCGAATATATAGCCGGATGGGGAAAGCTCTGGGGTGGCGGGCGCGTGGAGAAGGGAGAAGAGGTTCGAGTGTTCGGAGAAATTTGGGCGGCTACTTATACCACTATCGTTACATACATCTATACACCCATCAAGACAACTGGGCTCTTCCGCTCGCTTTCAACCTTACCTCTGCTACTCCCCTAAATGAATAATGTGAGAATCGGTAATCGTCGATGCGTGATATGATTGAGTAAGTCTAGCAAGTAAGATTCTACGGTATCAACATGAGATAGGATATGCGAAAATGCGTTTCATTTGTGCGAAAAGAGGAAGAGGCAACTCCTGGTACAAAACGCAAGTATAACAGAAAAAACGAGGCCGACCCCGATCCTCAAAATCGTCAACGCCCTGAATAAATGACCATACTAGTTTATACCGCTGGGTGAGACCAGACAAACCAGGTAAACAATATTTTGATACAGATGAACAAATACGGAATCTCTCGAAGTGCAGGGTTTCCGAGCTGTTTGGGATATGTCATATCCCAAGTCTCTGTGATCCCTATCGCCCGTTGCGCACGAAGTGCCCAATCAGACGCTAGGAGTCCACAACATCTCGACCGCACGCTTCGTCCTTGGGTCTTATTGTCTAGCTGCGAGTGAACCAGCGAGACACCATGTTGGTCGCAATGCTGCCCGCAAGGTTGCCTCCGCTGAACGCGCTGCCTGCAATGTTCGAGGCCTGGCTGAACTTGTCGCACCGCGAGAAGGCCAGGGTGTTCATCATGGTGAGGACCAGAGCGATGACTGCGGACGCACAGCAGGTCAGCAAGAGAAGCTATAGATGGGTTGGAGGTTAAAGGGGGGCAACAAGGTGTCAACTTACTGACGAGCGGCAGCCACATGAAGGCGAACCTCACCAGCGCCAGGATGAACATGACTATCCAGAGGATGGGCTGCACGTACAGCGACAGCCAGAAGAACCGGCTGTCCGTGGCGTTGATGGTCCTGGTCGCCGGGTCGCTGCTCTCAAACACCCACTTGGAATCGCCCGTCGCAGGGTCGACCTCGTTCCACCATCGCAGCCCTACGAGGCGTCGTCCCGCAATGTTCTTCAGGTAGTAGAAGTCGGCCGCGAGGAGGAGAATCGTGATGATGAAGGTCATGATCCTGCGATGCCGCCAGAGTTAGCTAAGCCGCCTCCTTTGGAGTGTTGGACGAGCGCGTGGGCCTCCAGATTAGTTGGTGCTGCACTTACATGCTCTTAATTATCCATAATCCGAGGAAATAGACGAGAACACTCGCTGAATAACAGTTAGAGCCAATTGCAATTTTCCAAATTGGGGAGGGCCGGGCTCACATATTCTGAAAGTAAGGAAAGTCAGAAGGGTGATGGGATGCGAACTCAGCCGCCAGCTCAGGGTGCCCGGTGCTGCCTGCTGGCCCTGCCCGCTCTCCAGGTCCATGATGTCTGCTGTTCTTCCGAGTCGCTAGCGGATTTCCAGATGGCGATATTCCGACCGACCGAATTGATGGGCGTGAGTTGCGCTGCTGAACGAAGTTATTCTGGTGACCTGTCCTCTCAGCTTAGAGCTACCTACGCGTACGACTAATAGCTGGAAGGAAGGAGGCTGTATTACCTCAGCTCCAGGGCGGTGAAGTGGGGCAGAATTCACGCCCATCATCACCATCGTCGCGACGGCTATGTAGTCGGCTATATCACTTGTGTCGGCTTCATAGTCTTCAATAGTAGTGTTAGATCTATGTATAAAAAGAGGGTATCGCTTTGTGTTTCCTTAAAAGGCGATCCTCTATCCTACTGCTAATCTTGTATACATCCGTTCTCCAAATCAATTGTTGGCATAACATACCACCATTGTCTGTCCATCTGGGTGTTACACCCCTCCCGTCCAGCATATCTATCCGTGTCCCTCATTGTCCAATATCTTCAATTCAAATCACGCCAACATGGCGACGAGAGCCTCAAATGTCATCCGGCGGTCATTGCTCTATGGTATGTTCCGTTGACAGTAAGATGCCCACTCACAATGCCAACCGTGCTGATTGATGCCTGTATTTGCAACATCCAGTCCCGGCCTCGTCTCAGAAGATGCTGGCGAAGTCACTGGGACTCAAATCAGACAATGTCACCTATGACCTGGAGGATTCTGTGGCTCCTCTGATGAAGTCCACCGCCAGAGACCAATTGAAGGCGCACATAGGCTCCCTGTCTCAGCGCCCAGCCGGGATCAGCGAGCTGGCAGTGCGCATCAACGCTGTGTCAACTCCCTTTGCACTCGAGGATCTCTCAACCCTCGCCCCGTCTTCCGGAGTTGATGCCGTCGTGGTTCCCAAGGTGGAATCCGCAGCTGATTTGACCTTTGTCACTGACGTTTTGCGACATGTTGCTCCTGAGCGCCACTCATCGGGATCCAGCAATCCGATCAAGATCATTGCTCTGATTGAATCTGCCAAGGCCATTATGGATCTCTCGTCAATCACTCGCGCATCTCCATATCTAGACGGCCTAGTTTTTGCTGCTGAGGACTTCGCTCTTGATCTCTCAATCACTCGGACTCCTTCTCTCACCGAATTTCTCTATGCCAGGTCGGCCATTGTCACTGCTGCAAGAGCTGCCAATCTCCCCAGCGCCATTGATCTAGTGTGTACATCTTTCCGTGGAGAAGAAGGCATCAGGCAGCTTGAGGAAGAGTGTAAAGGGGGTAGGTCTATGGGGTTCAATGGAAAGCAATGTATCCACCCAAGCCAAGTCGAAACTGTTCAGTCTCTCTTCAGTCCCGAGCAGGCTGAGGTCGAATGGGCTGTGAGGGTATCAATTGCCGACGAAAAGGCCCGACAATCCGGCCGTGGAGCATGGACTCTCGATGGGAAGATGATCGATGCCCCCGTGGTTGGCAAGGCAAATTCGATCGTAGCTAAAGCGGAGCAGTGTGGCTTCAACATGGAGGAACTAAAAACGAAATGGAAAAACCAAGAACCAGAGTGATAAAAAATCCAAGTTGAACACCAATTCAGTTTCATCTATAAAAAGTTATTCGGCCGCCAAAATCGTGCCATGTCAAGGTCAATTGTTCCTTCATTTGTCTCAGCCCCCCTCCTATTTGATAAGTCTTCTTTCTGTCCCGAGAGTCTGCTTGTTGCTCGATCCATAAATCTGGGAAGTTGATCGAAACCAGGGGTTAAGAAAGCGCTTGGAGTATAGTCGCTTATCCTATACCCATGCTCTTCTATGATATCGTGATTGATACCATAGCTTGGGAGTAATTCATTCTCCAATTGACCTACTTCAACGCTACTATCCATCAGTTTCCTAGTTGGGTCCGGAGAAGCCCCTCCAAACTGCATGTTAAATCTCTCATTATCCATCATAAGGTCAGCCCTAGCCAATGGAATGCTAGCAGTTGGTTCTTCCAACATGGAGGATCCGACGAAGGATTGATAAGAGTAATTATCCACTGGTACTGCTACAGGCACAAGCGGAGCTGTAGGGAGAAGAGCCCGTTCGACAGTGGGAATATCAAGACGTTCACAATCCAGCAATTCTTTTGAGCCCCAAGGATATCCGGACAACCCAGTATGAATAGGCAGTGAGAGTTTCGAGGGGGGTGGTGTTTGATCCCCCCAGCGTTGTCCTATCTCATTGGAGAAGTAGTCGGCTTCAAACATATGGTGATGCATTGGCAGTGTCGTATTCTCGCTGCTTGTCACCCATGGCTGTAGATGGGAATCCATTCCGGCAAATTGGGCCTGCTTTATAGAATCTGATCTAATTTCTCCAGTTAGACCAGTCATATGATTAGCCATATAGTTAGGCGTGTCGCTATTCTCTTCACGCAGCTTCTCGTGCATACCAGGGACGCCATACTCGGGTTCCACGCTGTGTTCAATTTCTTCTGTGGACGGCTGGGTGTCACAGGCCAGAAACTGATTGGTTTCCAAACCCTTGTTGCTGCCCAGCCCATTTAAGTGACTGCCAGGAATGATCTCCTCTCGCTCAGGTGCGCGTGTTTCTCTTTGATCTTTCGCAAAGGAATTCTGGTAACTGAAAACTCCAGTTTGGAAAAGCCTCCTCAAAATAGGGGTGGGTATAGAACTTCCATCCGATTCCGGACTGTTTGCCAGGGCCTCAGTCTTGGATACAACTGGGACCGGCGGGTCAGGGCCGGTGTTGCTCTCGAGGACATCACGCATTCCGGATTTGTCAGGTTGAGGACACGCTTTTCCATCCAAGGCCCGACCCTCTAGATCCCCTTTCAGAGGGCTTTCTTGCATGTTGTGGCCTTTGGACGCTTCGCACGTTGGGTTGGCCTCTTTTGTTTGCGCTGCCATCGCGTCGTTCATGTCAATCGGTGTCTCATGATTCAAGTGCCCGTGAGCGAAAAAGTCTTCAGCTTCATCAAGATAGTTCCGTCTTCGCTTCCTAGTCCTCAGTTCTATGTGTTCCAAATTTTCTTCTTCACCCTGGCCATCTTCCGGGACGGTAGTTTCTAAGTTGCCGGAAGGTATCATCGGCGTTGAAGACTTATCAATGGGAGGTTCTAGGTCGACAGGGTCGGTATTAGGTCCTGAGAGTGGGCCTCTCCCATTCATAAATAAGCCGGCCGTGAAATTCGGTTTCAGCTTTAAGGTAAATATATTAGCTGATCAGTGGCATATGTAAGTTTCGGGAGCCAAGCCTACCGTAACCCTAGTTGTCGTACTTGGGATCGCAGAGGACGTGAATCTGTTCATGATATCCTTCCGAGACCGAAGAGCTTGCGATCGACTACTGCGCATCTTGGATGGTTTCTCCTCAGGTGGTTTTCTCCACTTTGTTCCAGATTTCCGTTTTTTTCTAGGCCTGTGCTCATTCCGGGGGGTATGAGATGTCCTTGTCTTCGAATCGTAACGATTTGGTCGGGTTCTAGCTCTTGGTCTCTTTCTGTAGACATTCTTCTCTGGAGCTGCTGATTTCGGGTGATCTGTTCCATTGCTAGAGGACACGGAGGCAGACGAGCTGCCTGATGAGCCGTTATCGTTGCCATGCGGGCGTGGCGGCGATTGAAGCGGGTGATCCCTCAGAACCCAAGAGGATCGATTTTGGTCCAGTTTGTTTCCGTAGTCGGACCTATATTTACTTAGAGGCAAGTTATGAGGCTTCCACCTCTCCACGTCTTCGATGTCTTGGTCAGCTTCTTGAGAGCCACTGTCGAAACTGGGTTGCGAAGGCAAGGTCTGTATCCAGGAGTTGATATAGGCGTGCTTCCCATCCTGTTCCAGATGGTCTCTGTCGCGTTCCTCCTGTCTACTTTTGGCATCATTGTTGCTTCTGGGAGCTTGAGGCCCGCGGAGCCTTCGTCTCTTGTCTGAGCGAGAAGAAGATTGCCTCATGGTAGAATACGACCTAGGTGTTGGTAGCCGGTCTCACTGTTGGTCGAAATTCGCTGGAATCCTTATTGTAACAATCCCGAAGAAGCTCTGGTCTGCTAGCAGTGACGATGGCTCCTTGAATTGGGGGGATGGGAACTCCTTGGAGCAAGCAACGGTTGCTGCTTCTCCCATCCCCATAGCTGCTACACGGTCAAGTCATTGGTAGATTGCTCTTGACTCGGTCATGAACAGGACCGACACACTCTTTCTTGTGTCAGGAGCACCTCGTAAGTGTTTAGTTGATACACATGTGCTGGCGTTGACTCCTGCGACCGCTCCCTTGCAGGTGCGTGCGTCGTGACTTCCTCTTCTTCTTAAGTCTTGATTCAGAAGATTACCTCATCTTGCTCATCACTTGGTCTGGGCTAACGTGACGGGCCCACAAGGCAATTGAACGCCATGGCCTAGCGCGAGAATCGATAACGCCTGCTTCTAGTGGGATGCTCTTGGCCAGTCGGAACGCTAAGCAGGGCGGCCACAAATCTGCTAAGAAAAGGAGCAGATTGGCTTGCAACTCCAGCAAGACGGCCATCTCGGGCTTCGGCAGGTATGATGCCGGAAAGTTTAAACTTCACAGGGGAACACGTGCAACGTCCAGGGTGTGGGAGATCAGCCGGGCCACTAAAGTCTAGACCTGATATTACGCTGCGGCCAATGAAACAGGGATCCAGTTGGGCGAGCCCTCGAAATGATGCAACTTTACGTACTGCACTACGTACCACGGTAGTGCATCCCGTGGGCGGGCGATGGAGCAGTCAGCCGTTTAATAGGGCCCCGCGTGGGCTAAGCTCCCTCTCCTGGGCAGGGTAGCTCCGTGCTAGCGAGGCACCTACAAGGGCGCGCAGAAGCTTCAGGGAGGCTCTGCACCCCTCTATTGGGCCTTGCGCCCTCGCCCACCCAATTGCTTGGCTGCTTGGCATTGGTGTGCCCCGTCCTACAGGGAAGGCATTGCTGCACGCTCGGGATGTGGGCGGGAGGCAGCCAACATGGGAAGCTTTGCAGCCAAGTTTCCAACAGCTCTGGCAGGAAGGGAGCTGCTGTTCTACGAATGCCGCTTAAGGTGGTGTAGGCTGGCCGGCGCCCGTCCATTGCCAGCCTGCCAAAGGTAGCTAGCTGGCGACGTGCGCAGGAGGTGCTAGCAAAGGCCTGCCTGGCCTTGATTCCAAGCCACTGAAATACCTGGGCCACGGCTCGCACCCGGCTGCTCCATGCCAGCTTCCTCCAATTACATACTCTGCCTCGACGTGACTTGCGTGCCCGACACTTGTTTAATTCAACGACAGGCCTCTGAGATCTGCGCCTGCTCTCCCGTTAGGTGTTCAGTCTGTCCTTACTGATTCCCATCTCAGATCCTGCTCACAAGACCGTCAGCCCTCTATCTCTTCTCCAGAGACAACCACCAGCTTCCCCGCCACACCCCTCCTCTTCCTTCTTCTTCTCTACTCCCTCCTCTCACCCAACAACAAACAAGCTTCCTACCTTCCTACCCTGCCTACTCTGCATCCTCTCCTTCGAGCCCCAACAAGCTGCATTACTTCTAAAGCACCTACTCGTCTTTCGAAACAAGCCGATATCCTTACCGTTGAAGCTCCCATTTAAATCATGTCGAAGCTCTTTATCGGGTTAGTGCTTCCCTGCTGCTCAGCACCGCCTACCCCGTCAAATTTTGCTAACGTGTTCCCTTAGTGGCCTTGCCTGGCACACGGAGGAGGCGACCCTTCGCCAGAAGTTCGAAGAGTTCGGTCCTGTGGAAGAAGCCGTACGTTCCCGACACCCTGTCACCTTGAACAGCCACCCTGTGCCCGATTTCAGAGACGCTGTTTCTCTTCCATATCATGATGATTCTAATCCGATGGATGTGTAGGTGGTGGTTAAGGACCGTGACACTGGCCGAAGCCGCGGTTTTGGGTTTGTCCGATATTCCCAGGAGCCCGATGCCCAGAAAGCTATCGATGCCATGAACAATGTGGAGTAAGAACACCATCTGTCCTTGACCTTTTCCGCAACCAGTCAAATTGGCAGGGTTTGTAGGACGTCGTTGCAGGACTGACACCTTCCAGGTTTGATGGCCGAACTATCCGGGTTGATAAAGCATCGGATAATGGACCTCGTGGAGGCGGCTTTGGTGGACGAGGTGGCTTCGGTCGTGGTGGCTACCCTCAAGCTGGACCACCTTACGGTCAGCATGGGCCCGGGTACAACTTGGGCGGTGCTCCCCCCAATGTCTATGGCCAGCCGCAGTATGGTGGTAACCGTGGATATCAGCCAGGATACGGCGGTCCTCCTCAAGGTACACATCCATAGTGAGGCCACTTTGCCTCACTATACTGGAGAGATATCCGTTGGTCAAGCAAATGTTAACATCAACTAGGCTACGCCGCTCCCCAATACCCCTATGTTGACCCAAATCAGCAGCAGCAGCAGGGACAGCCTCCCCAGACAAACGGAGGAGCTCCCCAGGGAGGTAGGGGCTTCTAACCTGCTCAACTTTTGGGTCACCACCGGCTTCTTCACGCGATAATCGACATGTGCGGTTACAGAGGCCCTTGGTTTCTTGATGGTGGAAGCGCGGGTATTCGAAGATGCAACAAACCCTTTTCACACTATTTGAGCTGGGCTCCCCGAGCATTCTGAAACAAGGTTGATGGAAACGTTAGCTTTGCAGAGAGCTCCGAGCGAGTTCCAACTCCGATGCCATGGACTGAGGCGGTTCTTTTTTTGGCCTTGGTTCCTTCTCGTTTTTTCTTTTTCTTCTTTTGTTCTTCATCTTCCTAACTTTCATGGAACGACTGGGTGGCTTTGCCCACCTTTGGCACCTATCGGCCGGTTGTGGTAATGAACGATGTTATCGGGGTACACCTCGATCAGGACAGTTGGGAAAGGGGGCAAGGAATGCATACGCAAGTAACGGCCAAAACTTTGTTCATGATGATGAATCACACGACGAAGACGACGGGGGGGCTTAGATAGGTCCGGATTGAGGGACACACTGGCTTGCGCGGAAACGAATCAAGGATACCTAAAATTTCATGATATTTCTTCTTTCCCGACAGCTCGTTTGATCATATATGAACTATTCTGAAGGCTTCTCAGTCTCCTCTGAAGGTTCTGTCCAACTCAGGAGCTGAGTTTGCCGTTAGTTCCTTCCAGTGCCCTCACTCGAACGGCCAAGTCGTGAATGTGGTGATCACCACTCTTTGGTGACAATTCATTTAGAGCCTGATCTAAGTTCAAAAGGTAATCCTTGTTCGGTCCACTAGGCCCGTGACTACGGAAGATGTGCTCAGCAAGCTGCTGAGGGTCCTGTGGGCCGACAAACTGCTCGTTCTCCGGGGTACCAATGTAAACGAGAGTCTTTATAGACGCAGAGCCGTCTGCGGGGTGGAAGGGGGTGTAGTGTATCGTGTAGCCATTGATTTCCCTGATGTCGAGGTACTCCTTGACCTCCTCTACCTTTTCAGGTATGATGCGGTACGCCACTCCCCAGACCTTTTCGGGTGCGGAATCATGGTGGTCCGTGAGTTCTTCCCAGTACGACTTCTCGATCAAGGTCACCACTCGGCCGGGAGCCTCTGGTGTGCCTCGGTGGTCTTGGCTACAGCAGGTGAGAGGAGAAGTTAGTCGGTCAGTCAATAAGCTAAGAGTAGAGGCGTAGTGGCTTTATACCTGGCCTGTAAGAGAAGAACTTGTCAGCCTGAGTACATCAATGAGGTGGAGGGGATATGAGGGGGCTCCCGAACCTGCCAAAACCGGCGAACATAGCCCGTCACCCATCCGGGGATCCGTCTATCTGCTCGAGGAGAACAAACATGACCGTTAGCCTGCCGCATATAGCAAGTGTCACAGGGTTGGATAGGCTAGAAGGATAGAGTAATACCAAAATGAGGCGGGGGCTTCCATATAAGACTCCTAACAGACTAAGTAAATATCATGAAAGATTTCTAGCGCATCGATATATACGACGAGGCAGGCAAGATGGCATATGGGGGGAGAACCAGAGAGCCACTCCATCCTCCGCGGAAGCGAGAGCCGTTACTTACCCATAACCATAGAGCCAGAATTCAGGCGCGGCTTCTTTGACTGTCATCGTTGAGTTTGACCGCTTGCTCGCTCGATGTGCTCCAAGGAGGATTCACGATTCTAAAAAATAAAACAAGAGAAGATTAAATAAGAATGGCTTTCAGGGAGTCTGGATATGGCCGTTCGGAGGTGAGCAATTAGCAAGCTCGTCCCTCACTTAGTAATGCAGCCGGGACGGAGATGGTAGTGCAACAAAGGTGGGCGCTTGCGTGCGACGTCCCCACTCGCTCTCGTCCGGACAAGCCACCATCTACATCTTTGTCCGGGATGGGCTCTGCTATATCAACTATCAAGTACTATGCCGACGGATACTTCATTCCCTCCAGCGAGCTTTCCCAAACTGTACTATGGAAGTTGTAGGAAGGAAAAATCAGATACTGGTGCAAGCTTCGTTTGAGACTAAGGGTCCTTTCGCGATACTCCTCTTCCAATACCTTCCCTCGTCCATCAACTTCTCACTAGCTTGATTGTCCAGATCCTAGATCTAGTTAAGAACCGACTTGCCAATTCTTCGATGTCTGCCAAGTTGAGTAGCAGTGCTATACAGCTTCTCGACTGCGATTTTGGCTATTTAACTCACCAGAATAGCCATTTTCAGATCCTAATGAATGTTCCTAAATGAAACTGACAACGTGAGGACACTGGGCGATAGTAGAAATTTCGTTTCCTAAGCTTGGACAATTAGGATACATGTCACTTTTTAGAGGGAGATATCCACCATGCCAGGTCCGGCTGACACCTCTGTCATACTCTCTTGGGCCTCAGTGCATTCTTGCAGTATCATCATAGGCCCCTCGCATTTCATGATTTCTCGAGCTTCGGCAAGGAAACCTGTAGTATGTCCGAGGACAGTTACCTACAATGTCACATTTGACTGGTACTTGTTTTCCAATCTCTCTCTAAGCTCAGTATATATTGCAGCATCATAGGCTCCTGAGCGAGATTGCTAAGGTGAGGACCCCCAGTTATGGTAAAATTCACGGTTTTCCAAGCTTCCGTAATGAAGTGAACTATTGTTTGTCTGGGATGTGATGCCCTTGATAACCTCCCCAGGCACTCGGGTGTTTCTACAGATTCATAGGGCGCAAAAAAAATTGATGAACAGGCCGGTGGAAACTTCCATGGATTTTAGCTCTGGCGTAGAGAAAAGGATAGGTTCCAGGATGGATATTGTTCGTATATAGCAGAACAAGGCGGGATTAGCGCACAATCAAATTCTGACCCATCACGATTGATGCTTAATTGGAAAGTTCAGTCCGATTGAAGAAAATGCGGTCAGAGTTCGAGTACATGGATGATAGCATGACCCACGAAGTTACAGTCCGTGGAAGGGTTTGAGGCCAGGGATGTACGCGTTCCAGAAAGGCGATAATAATATTATATCATCGGAAAAGATTCCTTTTTCTTTTTACCCAAGGCTAAAATCTTCGTAGAAATCAAAGGCCGCACCAATCTTGATATGTCGAGATCTGATTATATGTGATGCTGGATCCAGGTCAAACCAGCCTGCCATCGATACTACTACATGTACCATTTAGCCTCGCAACTCGGGAGCTATCGCAAACATTGAACACAGGGGACAGGGTGAGATAAGCACCGGAGTTGGTTGTCCATGCGCAGTTGCCGTGCATCAATGCGTTCATCTCCGTCCTTGGGGGTTCAGGCACAGACGGAAAATAAAAGCCCGCCGTACAACCAAGCCGGCCTTTGAAAAAACATACCGCACCAGGCGCCTGCCCGGCCGTGGTCCCAGCCCAGGTCAGTCTGTTCCGCCGTCCATCAATCAAGGCACCGCGAGAATTCCACCCACGACCTGGGCGGTAATTACGTATTTGATGTCAATCTGGGTGCCCTATTTTAGAACCCGACGACAGCAGGGCCGTCCAATGGCTCAGCACCCTGGCACAGGGACTCAGCCAGCAGCGTGACAGCACTAGCAGGCCTGGGCACCAAGAAATCTGCCCCGCGTTGCGCCCCTCGTCAAGCTAAGTGCCACCAGCCGAGTACGTAGGTAGTCATAATTTAGGACTTGGTTGACTGCAATCTCCATGATTCTGTCGCGGCTCTTCCCACTTCCTCCTCCACCCTTCTCGAGAACGTCTGCTGGCCCGACAGACTGCGCTTCCTCTCCTGCATTCCTTAGAGTCGGGTATTGACCCGTCAATTGATATGGCCTACAATCAGCCCTACGACCCTGACGCGCTCCCCAGGTATGAATGACCCCACCATCCCACGGCCTTGGTAAGGTAGCCAACTCGTGATCGTGACGATGACGACGATGGCCACCACAAACCGCTTCCTCTGATTTCGTCCAAGCCAGATGCTGACCTTTCTTTCTGCTCTATAGATTCGCCGAGCCCGAAGTATGTCCCCTACCAGCATGAAGAGCTGCCAAATCCATCATGCACATCGTCACCCTCGACGAGGCTAACCAGCCCTTCTCTTAGAAACGTGGCCCGGCGGCTGGGAAGTCTTCTTCTCCAGCTCCTGATCAGCGATATAACAAGCCTGCGCCTCTGCCGCAACAATACCAGCAACACCACCAGCCGCCGCCGCCGCAGCAGCAGCATCAACAACCACCACCTCACCGTCAAGGCACAAGCTCATCCTATTCTCAGCAGCCTTCGTCCCATCCTCACCAGCAGGCAGCTTCGCCTCATCCTCACCAGCATCCTGTCCATAGCCCTCCCCCCAGGCAGCCTACATACAACCGCAACAGTGGCACTCCCGGTCCGAGCTTACAAACCGCAGATGACAATTCCGGCCAGAGTCTACTACCCCTCTTCAGGGCCGTAGACAAAGACGGTAGGTTTGCCCATACCATCTCAATACCAGGCCAGGGGCTTGGCTTGTCAATATCCACCTAACGTGCCATGTCTGCAGGTACGGGTCAGCTCTCAGAAAAGGAACTGTCGGCGGCTCTCGTGAATGGCGACTGGTCCGCATTCGACACGCAAACGGTCCGTATGATGATCCGCATGTTTGATTCAGACAGGAGTGGAACCATTGGTTTCGAGGAGTTCTGCGGCCTGTGGTCTTTTCTCGCCTCTTGGCGCACCCTCTTCGACCGTTTCGACATCGACCGAAGCGGCAATATCTCGCTCAGCGAGTTCAGCGATGCCCTCGCCGCGTTCCGCTACCGCCTCAGCCCAGACTTTGTCAAGCTTCTTTTCCGCACCTACGACAAGCGCCAGGAGGGCGCCATGAGCTTCGATCTGTTCGTCCAGAGCTGCATCTCTCTGAAGCGCATGACGGACGTATTCAAGAAGTACGACGACGACCGGGACGGGTTCATCACGCTGAGTTTCGAGGACTTCCTGAGCGAGATCCTCAAGCAATTAAGATAGGTTTCTCATATGGCTCTCGCGGAAAGATTCGGTATTTCTTTGTTGCGTGTGTGTATATACCCCAGGAAAATCACGGCATGCGAGCAACGGCCACTCTTACGATCCTGCTACACCCTGCTTGGCATGTTGTTCGTCCGGAATCAAATACCATGTTCAGAAGCTTTTGGGAGGTTTTTCAAATGATACCATGGGCTGATTTACTCTAAATAGAGCTTGGGGGGGTGCGGTTTTCCTGACCCATGGCTATACGATCTTTGTCATTGGCAGTGTCCTATCAGCGATACAAATACTTAGGAAGCAATTTACGTCCATTTATCTTATTCAAGTAAACAGCAACTTCTTGCGCCATTTGATTGCCAACCTAAACGACCTCGATACAAGTCGTACCGGGAGACTCATCTAACGCGGAGCCTCCTCACTGAGTCCACGGGGCGATTGATCAATCATTAGCAGGCAACCTTGATGGGGAGACGATGCCTCATCGGCTTTATTTATCAGAACTGGAGGAGACACCACATTTATTCGAGGAGTTTCATAAAGTCAACCCAGACTACCAAGTTTGCTGATGATAGAATGGTGATTGTTCCTGCTTTCCACGTCTTGGGAAGATCGACCTACCCTGAAGCACCCTTTCATGGAGGAAGAGCTCTAGATCAATTAGCAACTTTGGCACTGGCATTATTCAATATAACTTTCATTCTTGATTGTCAATGGATAGGAGAAAAGAAATAAGGCGGCAGGTCTTGAACAATATTGATGAATCATTCTTACATCTGATCTGATCGCGATATCACCACTCAGCAGTGATCTCAACCCAAGGACATATTTGGAAACATGAGGAACAGGTCACAGTTCAGGTTACGCCACAACCCAATCAGACCTCGTCCTTACCTTACTTCACGAAATCGAGGACTCGTTTTCGGAATATAGGGGGTAATGTTACCTCGGCGAGATCCCACATGAGCAGGCTCCCGGTCGCAAAACTTCGGAGGAACAGCACATGGTTCCGAGTCTGGTTGGAGTTGGACCCGTTTGGGTATTTCTAGCCCTTTTCATGTCCATTCTAGGCCAGCCAGGGTGTTCATGCAGCCTATTTGAGAGATCAGTGTGATTGGCAAGTGGGTGACAAGAGCAATGAGACACCTAATGGAAGAGAGGTTATAGACAGACTACTATCAAGATGACATTCACTAGTATGAAATGAAAGAAAGGGACAACGTATGCTGTATTGTCTCTGAAGTATATCTTATTAGCACTCAATAATCTGACAATACCGGTCGCAGACTCGTGAATAAGCAGTATAATGTTTGAGTGTCTCAATTTGAATGTCACCCACTTGGGTGGTAGCGATGGGCTGAGAGATTTGTTCATCCTCTACTAGCGGTCCTTACAAGTCCATGAATACGTCGCTTTTGTTGAAATATAAATTTATACCTTCTAATTTTCAATTAAGATTCCCCAATGTGTATGGCGATATGCACCTAGAAACTGTGAAGCTGATCGCAGAGCCTTCGAGGCTGCACTTTGCACAACCTTGGTAAATAGCTTGTTGGCTAATACCTTGAAATCTGATCGTTATCAAGAACGAGCGTACAATCCAGATAGTCTGGTCATCATAAAATCATTTTTGTGCCGGCAACAACAGCTATTCAGGTTGATGCTGGTGCTTGCCGGTACAAGGTACACTGATGTATGGGTAGCATTGCCACCGTTGGGTGGTTCGATGTAATTCATCCGCTGTTATAAGTAGAACTCGACACAATCACTCCACCGACAGCTCAGCCAGGACTCACCTCGTCATAAAATGGAATGATGATGTGAAGTAGCAATTCGTACGACTATACCACCTGTACTCTGGTGGATTCTATTGCCGGCGATGTGGTTCCTGGCAACAAATCTTCCTGATCATAAGATCGGGGTCTCCGAATGCGCTCTTGTTCCCAACAACCAACACACCCTCTTACTCGCTTTAGTTACTGAAGAGATAAGAATGCGTACATTCCATATGAATTTGGCTTCTATGCGCGGACATCACTTGCCGGCGAGCCTCCATGCAGGCGAGAGCTGGTGTTGCCGGCACTAACAGACCAGTGGCTCCGGCACCCGGATGTAGAATGGGCAAACACAAGCAGGACTTTCGGGCCCGGCCGGTGCGGCGTCAGTCTCCAGTCCAGGCCCAGCTTGGCCGGAAACGGCATGCGTACGAGTAGTGAGCCGATAGAATCATTGGCCTTGGACTGCGGACTGGCGGTGGCCGTCGGTGCCTCCGGGTACATCAAATCAAGGTTGCAGACTTGACTATGACTGGTAGGCAGGTAGCAATGTAAGCGCTGCCCCATGGATTAGGGATTGATGTTGGGTGGTGGTGGTGGTGTGGTGGTAGAGGTCGAGCGGACCTCAGTGCAGCACAACGGTGCAGTGCATTTACAGGCCATTTTCGCCCAGCTTGCCCACCTCACTGCTCGTGGACTCCTTGTAGGGAAAGGCGGTGACCCCACGCCGGCGCCTTTCAGGGCTCAGGGGTACCACGCACCACTGTGCACGCCCCCCCAAAGCCTTAGAATTGGAGAGCTTTGATGTGTCCCATGATCGCTCTGGCCTGGAATGGAATGCACACCCCATTACCACACGCATTGATTTTGTACACCGCAGCCAAGTACATGCGCATACGCTAGAACCCAACATGCCAAAGCGAAGCGCTCTCCTCACCCTACACCGATGCGAAGGAATCCCTAGCTGGGCCGTTTTGTTCTCTATCAACATAGAGAGCAAACCCTGGCGCTTGCCCTGGCGGTTTTGTCGCAATCCAAGCCGATGATGTCAGCGGTGGGCTTTGATGCAAGGGCCCACTCCAGAGCGTAGGACTTGCAACCATCCATTAGGTGCGTTGCGCTGGCGTGGGAATATCCCACCGCGAAAACAAACAAACAAAGAAATAAATAGAAGGCAAGCATGCGCTCAATAGCGCCGACATAGAGCGCATCAGCCAACGACGCTGGTAGCTATGTGCCACCAGCCGAGGCTGTTATCAGCGAAAAGATAAGGCAGTGCAACCGGGGCCGGCTTAGCATTCTTGCGAGTCGAGAGCCTGATTCAGGACGTCGCGCCTTGTTGGCTGTGCACCAAGTTTGATGGGAACTGGCATCACATGGCTAGCATGCGCATGCTAGGTAAGTAAAGGCTAGGTACGCCCCTGTGTGCTCGTGACGGCGACCCCGGTTCCATCTTCAATTGGCCTAGACCTTTCCTTGCATCATTTTCCTTTCTTTTTGTTCCCTCTTTCTCTCTAATGCAAGGAAAAGAAGAATCTGCCAGGATTGACGCTGCTGGCCAATCCATCCGTCGGCCATATCGAGTCCGAAAATGTGGGTAGAAATGCCGTTATCGCGCTGCAATGTTTGCTCTTATCTCGTCGCTGGATCTGTCACTGGCAAGGTATCAGTGGTGCTGCTACTTGCAGAAAGAGGAGCCAGGAAGACCCTGAAGTGGATGAAGGGAAGCTCTAGAATGGTGCTCCTTGTGGGGACGGCAGACAGCTGCTTCTGGCCAATTGCTTGTCGTAATCGGATTGCGCACCCCTGAGCTTCTAAGCTTTCTCCCAGAAGAAAAAACTCAAAAATGTACTTGTAGATTAAGTACCCGGAGAGTTAAAGCCGAATTACCTCGAGCCGTCGCTGCTTTAATACTCTCCGATTTATCCATCAGACGGAAAATCACCCGGCCTCACAGAAATTTTGGCGAAAGATATCATCCCGTGGCCGGTTGGCTGTGAGTCATGTTTCAATAGATCAAGCCGTAGTTTTGAATAACAGCTAGGTTGGTCTGAGATATGATTTCGGTTCGGAGGTGGGCCGAGGAGCTGTGGATTGGGATCGAAGTGAGGTATCAACCGTTGAGAACCCAGCCGCCGTGAAGGACCCTGCCTGTTGCTATCAATTTTTGTATTAATATGCGGTATTAAACTTTCAATTGAAGACCATGGCAACGGGAACCAAGACGTGGTTAGGTTGGAATAGCCGTACTGTTGGTCCCCATACCCCGTGAGCCTGGCTTGGAGTTGAGTAATCTTTTTGACAACATCGCAAACCTGTAATCGATAACGACCTTCTTGTACGATGATTTCTCAATTGCCAAAGCTCTCACGAACAGTGGACTAGGCCTTGCGAGCCGACAAGCCTAAAGCAGCCAGGAAGTCTTTGCCCGTTCCAGTCGATGCAAGCAAATCGGCTTATATAAGAATGATGCAAGAGGAGGAGCCAATGTATCACGCCAGGGATGAACCTGGTCGGGGGTCGTGCGCGGGGGGCATCTGTGCATGGTGGCCGAGGGGAACAAGAGCTGGAACGGGGAACGCCTTTGAAAGCTCCACCCTTGAAGAAAAAAAAAAGGCAGTTGACACGGCGCTCCCATAGGCCAGTGTTTTGACATACCATGCCAGACAGCCAAATTCAATGCGGTCCAGTGACCTCCAGCCGAGCTACCCTGCTCGCTCGATCATGTACTCTACAGTCTCTGCATGTACTGTGTGCGCATCGGGGTAGCTCTGACTTTCCACCTTTCCACCTTTCCACTTGCCCATCACCTAACGATGGCTAAGAGTAGTCTAGTTGCGAGTCAGTATCGTTCCTCGTTCGGAGGCCACGCGTAGGCCGTTTCAGCGCCAAGCAGACAGTCACCTGGCCGGGCCGGCCTGGCCTGACTGTGCATACTCGATTCACCCTTAGACAGGGTAAGCGGGAAAAGAGTGAGTGGGTAGGTTTTGGATCATGCCTGCGCCTGGCTGCTCTCGAAGGAGCTGTTTCACCCATCGAGCTTTGATGACAGTGAGATGCGCCCTGCCCACCCGTCCTCGCCAGCCCGCAGCTGGGCAAGCGCTGCAAGGTAGATGGTTGTATCGATCCAGCAATTGCCTTGGCTTGGCTTGATGGCCTACTCAGATGGATGGGGCGAGAGGGCTAGACATGGAGTGTGGCATGCAGAACACCAAGAGAACGGAGCAAGAGCTCTGGACGCCAATTGCCCCACAGGCGAGCCCAATCCAGGTCGCTGGGGGTCTTGGGGCGTCTCGGGGGGCTGAAAGCTGGGTAAGAGCTGGGACCCAAGCTGTCAATGCCAAGCTCCCCATTGGCTCGCGCCTTCCATCTCATCCACGAGAGTGGGTTCATGTGGGCTGCACCGGGGACTGGGTAGGCAAGTACCACCTACACATGCCATGTACTATCTGAGTAGGGCAGGCTGATACCACCTACCAGTGTCCATGCGGCTAGCTGCCCACGCCTTGGCTCTGCTTGTGCTTCAGTCCAGTCCATGCCGCTGATTGCTTGTCTGCTGCTCATGTGTCGGCCAGAGCCTTTCACACGGCCATTGAGCCTGGGTCTCGGACGTGGTGTCGGGGTGTGTCGATGGGCGGCTGGATGTGAGGGTCTGGGCTCCCCTCCTCCTCCCGATATGTCCATCCTCCTCGTTCGTCTGGTTCCTGATTGCATGCTACCTACCCAAGATAACATAACCATATTGCTTATCCCACGGTTCCTTGCTGCATGCGTGCTGCCGCCGAACTGTCCATTGCCGCCCATGACTTCGAGTCCTCTCGTCTGGAACAGCTCCCGCCTGGCGTAGGTTCGCCACTCGCTGGACCCGAGCAGAGCACATGCCGGAAACTCTCTCCGCTGGATCTTGCCGGCCTCGATCATCGGCTATTGGGACAGCTCCTCGTGCTTGAGCTCGGGGCAAGATCTGCTCGACCTACACAAACCTTCTTCCCATGACTTGGTCCGGCCCACCTTGCCGCCGCAAGCTTACCATAAATCATCATTATCTCTGCTACCACCTGCTGCCATCCATCCGTACCTTTCCTACTCTCTCTTGCTGCTGCTGCTACCTACGTCTCGTCTCCTCCCCCCAGCCCAAGTAGTTTCCGCCTGTCGGGTTACTCATCTCCATACCTGCCGCAAAACTAGTCACCACATAACAAGACCTACCTGCCACCCGCCCGCAAGCGATTTTCTTCATCACGCAACAAGCGGAGAGCAGGCTTCCTTTGCTACAACCTCTACCTCTGCCTACTTACCTCCTTCGCTAGTACCTACAGCCTCGCCTACCTTCTGTTCTGAGGTAGCTCTGTGCTCCCAGCCAGTGCTGCTTACCTTACTTACCTACTTAGTCGAGAGCCTGCGTCCCTCCCTGCCGTCGTTCGTCTGAGGCTTGCAATACACTTCCGCCACCACTTCAAACCTTCGAGTCAATGCGCTTGTTTCGTGCGTCATCTTCTTCCGACAACATCAACTTATCTGCCTCCTTTTCCCCCTAACCTCACCGTCTGGTTTCGGGGTCGCCTTGCTCTGTGCAATGCGCAGTTGCCACGCCACAGCGCTGCCTCGCATCATTAACTGAACCACCGCCACCCACTATCTATCGCCTTATCGCAGCGCAAACTGCCCTCAATCGCCCACCCCATCCCCGCTCGCTCGCTCGCGATAGCGCTGGTGGGGTCAAGATGCCGCCTCGGTCGTCTTTGACGTCGTCCTTTTCCATTACAGACTCCAACAATGAAGTTGTCTGTCCATTGCGAAACCAGGATGGCTCCAGCTGCAGGAAAAGATGTGTTGGCGTAAGTCCATTTCCCGCTACTTCAATGCATCCAAGGTGCAAGCGCCAATCCGCTTTGCGCAATCCCGCCCTCTTCGTTACCATATACCTTCCCTCAATGAACTGGCTTCTACCAATTGCATTATGCTTCTTTTGCAGTTAATTTGAAAAGTAACGGATCGTAATTGGGCTTCGAATTGAATTGTCTAACTTTTTTCCCGACTCAGGAAAAACGCTATCGTTCCATGCAGGAACACATCCGCCGTACTCATGCTGCGCACTACATCTCCAAGCTCCCAGCTACGGAAGAGAGCTTTCTTCTCATGACCAGCACACCCCCCTCGGATCGCCGACTACCAGAGAGCCCATTATCAGCCTCAAAAAGTTTGTGCTCTTCCCTGCCGTAAGCTGACCTGTCGACTAACCAGCCATCCAGGCTTTCATGACCGTCTGTCGCTCCACCCTGACGATTTGAGCAATCCTCCAACACCACGCCTTTTAGATGATTCAATTGGCAACCCTCTACTCGGCGCTCAGAATGCAGCTGCAGCGTTGGCAGAGCTTCATGGGGTCAAATCAGAAAGAGATATAAACGACGTGGTAAGACAGCCCTATGTTCATTTCCTTTCCCGATTTCTTCCGTTCAATGTGCTAACATGAATCATTCGCTCAGGACCATATGTATGACCATGACGCCCGGCGCTATCCTCGCAGCTCCATAGAATTGCCTCCTCTGAACCTACCACATGATATCACAAGCGATCCGTCTAAGCGACCACGCGATATTCTTCCGTCTTTGCTTGCCAACTCTCCACCTGGCCGTTCCTCCACATTGCCTCCATTACAACGTCCGTCTGGCCCCCACCGATTGAAAAAATCAGGCGTATCCAAGAAACATCGGCCTGGCCATGGCAAGAAAGAATCCCGAGGATCTGCGGCAGATTGGTTGCGCCGAATTCAGAACGAAGAGCGGAGACCAGGCAATGATAGGAAGGCACTTTCTGCCGAGCCATCGGCGGATTATGGCAAGCGATGGGAAGATCTCATTGACGCTGCTGATCAAGCTGCTTCCATGGCTGGTGACATTGATGAGGACCGCACACCGGTATTACTCTCTCCGGCCGATCGCATCATATGCTTTGGCGCTGACGATACGTTTCAGGGTCCTCATTCACCGATTTCCATACATCGGTCGTCTTTGCCACCCTTCACTCATCCGCAATTGCACACAGGAAACTATCAAGCCTCGCCACTGCAGCAAGCCTTGACACCCCCGTCCAACAATCAAGACTTAATTGACCCCTTCCCCTCCGTGGAGAGTGGAGAGAGCGGGGATACATTCCATATGGACTCCCGTGGTCTGTCCGATTCTTCCCCAACCTACTCTTCCCAGAACATCCAGATTTATTGTGCCGCCTGCCAGGGGGTATCTAGACTCCGAAACTCGTATGCATGTACGGAATGTATATGCGGGCTCTGCCCCACCTGCGTTGAGGTCCTCATGTCGGAACACGGAGCGCGGAGGAAGTGCCCACGCTGTGCTACCATCGGCGGCCGGTTCAAGCCTTTCCAGCTCGACATCAGATGAGAGTTCTGAGAAGACTCACATTCATTCGTTCTCGGGGTCTTAAGGCGCCTGGCGCCTGGCCCCCCCAGTGCGGCCATCACGTATCACGACTTTGCTTTCTCTACATTCCTCGTCTCTTTCCCAAACTTTTCCTGCCTGCTTGGCTTACTGTGTCTGAATTCCCTTCTTGATTTAACTTATAGGCGTTTCGTAAATTGCTATGCTGAGGGAAAGACCGATGAGCTTTCCTACTTTCTTTTTACACCAAATTTCTTTTATTGGTCAACATGGATGGCGTTTGATATCTTGGTACGGTGGTATCTCTTATTCCCTCCCTTTTGGATATCCCTCTCTTTTGGACAGTACGTTTTTGGGTATCGGTGGCAGGCTGAATTTGCGGCACCTAGATGAAAAGACATCATTCTTTTTGTGCCAGTTTTATACCACGCGGTATATCAATCATTACTACTATACAGCATGTGTAGATTCGAGATAAACAGGACTCTCGTCATGAATATCAAAAGAATGAAACATCCCATGCAGTCCCTAAACTAATGAAGCAAATCATGCATGATACGTGATACGTCAACATAAGTGTATTCATAAAACAGGAGAAGCCTATTTTTTGGCCTCCTTTTCCTTTTTAAGTAAAATGTCCCGGACTGCTGCTCTTTGGTTTCGGCTTCCTCCAAGTTTAGGTCCCCTGAGAACATCCTCCGAGCCTGGCTTCGCTGCCTGGGTAGGCTTCTTTTTCCTCTGTTGTTGCTGCTGCCGTCTCCGAGCCACATCATCCAAGAATTGCCGGCGGAACTCTTCTGCGAGACGCTCGTCTGCCTCGCCGTCGGCTGCAGGGCTCGGGGCTGATACTTCGGACACGTCGTAAACACCAACTAGAAGCAGAAGGAGGGCCATGTTAGTAAACAAATCAATGCGCACGTGGCGGGCGCTGGAAGGACACTCACGTCTGTTCTCGCTGAGGAACTCCTCGACCAGCTTGTCGCGCTTGATGTCGTCGCTTCCGCGGCGCTTGCGCGGGCGCCAGGGTTTGCCGTCGCGGCCGAGGCGCTGCCGCTTCGACTCGCGACCACCGGACCTGTCGTCTCCCGCGGCAGGGATGGGGTGGCTGGCGAGGTCGACCTCTACCAGCTTGCCTTGCATGACTGGCTGGCCGGGGGCCTGCTGTGCGGAGGAGGAGCGCGAACGGTCGGCGGTCTCGTCTCCGTCTTGAGGGTTGCTGTTGTTAGGGGGTGGGGGTGCGCGCTCGGCGGCTCGACTAGATAGGCGGGATTCTATGTATTGATTCCTGAATGATTAGTATTGATGAGGGTCACTGGGTTTTGGAGTCCCTTCCCGGGTCGCGGTGGGGGGAGGGGAGGATGTTGTTTGGGATCTGGCGACGAGGGGCGCGGGGAGGAGCCAAGGTGGGAGGGCAGGACGTACATGTGCTTGTCGTCGATGTCGGAGACGAGCCCGGTCTGCTGCGTGAAGCGGTTGGCCATGCCGATTTGCGCGGGGGCGTCATCGTCATCGCCGTGCCTGGGGACGAGGGCTCGCTCGTCCGAGGCGGGATCGGTGGTCGTCGCATGGGAGCGGGTGCTGAAGCCGACGCCCTGTAGGCGGCCGCGACGAGCAGGCCGGTGGCGGAGGGCTGCTGCGACGCTGCTCGAGGGCTGCGGTGTGGTCTCCTCGGAGTCGTCCCGGCCGAAGAAGTCTGATGCGACGGCGCGGGGCTCGGTGGTGCTCGCGCTGGGGATTTGGGCGCGCCGGTCGCTCTCGTCGTCCTCGTCCTCGTCGGCTCGCGATCTGTAGACTTTGCGCTTCTTGCTTGGGCGAAACCGGATTGTGTCGAGGGGTTGTGAGTCTGTCGCCTCGCTGGCCATGATGACGACAAGCGGTTCTGAAGACGAAGATGGGGGCGTTTGGGAAATGTGACGTGTCAGGAATAATACCTTATGCACCTGCGAGAAATGCGGCGGCAGATACTCGAGATGTTGTTGGAGGCCCTGATGACTAAGCTATTACGTTGTGGTGTATTGTCCCAACATCGCGCATGGGAGATGGAAGGTACATTAGTTATTCTTCAATGCAGACTCGTTCCCATAGCCTTATACTGGTAGATTACTACTGACAAAAGTTTCTCGCCCCAAACTTCTATCGCGTTACACAATACTCCATTCCAATTTCACCATTGGGCCTATCAATAATCTATCGCTATTACATCACCGAAGTCACTCAACGTCATTGAAAACCACCAGCGCATATATCAATATGTCAGAACGAGTAAGATTATGATTTCCACCATATAAAAATATGTCTACTAAGTGATTCTATTTCCTAACGTGACAATTCCCTTCAAAGATTCGCTTTGTCGCACATGGTGGGATCGTCCAAGGTATGTAGGGTATCTACGAGTGACCCCCCCGGTATTTGGTTCGTGGATTGACACGATAATATTGGTTGCCGCTGACCTTGCTAGGCGTGGGCTTCCGGTATGTCTGAGAAGTTTGGTTGCTTCCATTTATCCGCATTGAAGACGAAGGGGGCCATTTTGGCGCCACTTCTAACCTCTCCTCTATTCAGTTATTTCACCCAGAAGCGAGCCCGGGAATATGGCGTCACGGGATGGTGCCGGAACACGGATGACAACAAGGTAAGGTCCTGGCAGTTTCGCGAAGCAGGCAGGCGGCTAATACTCCGCCAAAGGTTGAGGGCGAAGCACAGGGTTCCATCGAGGCCATGAAGCAGTTCCTCCAGGCCGTAGATAAGGGCCCGAGGCATGCACATGTCGTCAAGCTGGACAAGGAGGGTCGTGATCTTGTTGAAGATGAGTCGGCTTTTGAAATTCGCCATTAGTTTAGGACTCAACAGGAACCCATAAGGTGGCGCGCTCATTCGGCTCTGGGAGGTAGAGCGTAGCCTGGCGACAAGGTGAACACCTAGCTACTTGATTCCCTATATCATAGCAATAAACCGGCCTTTCTTAGAATCCTCGGCCCCGTCGCTTGATAACAGGCTTCTTCACGGCGCCCTGCGTGACGAACTTCTTGCCATTTATTGTCGCTTTCTTCTTGGTCGTTTTCTCAACTTCGGCTTGTTTCCGATCTTCCTCTCGTTGTCTGTCTTCCTCCATCTTGGCTTCGATCTCCATCTTCCGATTGAATTCCGTCTCCGTGATACGTTTGTCTCGAGACGAGAATCCCTTTTCTTTGATCGAGTAGAATACTCCTCCTAGGTCTGCAAGCCAGTGCGGATCAACCGCTGTGACGGTTGAGACGTATACTTTGGAGGTGAGGATAAGCTCGTGGTAGACGATGTAATCAGGAGGGTGACCAGCGTACAGGGCACTGGTCGGATGGAGCTGGACTCCGAGGTTGGTGCGCAGGTTGATGTACTCTCCAGATCCCTTGTACTTGGCTGCCTGGTGGTAGTATCCAGAGCAGATGCACTTTCGGATCAGATCCCAGTCCATGCCACAGCTGATGAGCTGCATTTTTTGCATCTTCACGATATCCATGAGCTGCTCCCTTATCTCCTTCGCTCTTCTGAGGGACTTTGGATGGAGGAAGTGCCGGACACACCAGCCATCGGAGTACCCGTTGGACTTCCAAGCCGAGTAAACTTGAAGATACGTCAGGTGGTCTGACTCGTGGACCCAGAACTTTTCCCTCTGGGCGTCTGCCTCGTCCTGTCTTTCCTTGGGTCTGTAGAACACATTGGGAACAGAAAGCATGGAGACAATGGTGATCATCTCCTCGCTGCACCCGTACTCTTCCGCGGTGATCAAAAGCTTTGAAAGCGAAGGGTCCATTGGGAAAGCACTCATTTTGTGCCCCAGAGGTGTTAGCCCTCCCAGATTGTCAAGCGCCCCGAGAGCCCAGAGGTCAAACATAGAAGTTAGGATAGTGTCTTGGGGGGGAGGGTCCATGAAATCAAAGTCTAGCAGATCCTTCACGCCTAGAGATTTGAGCATGAGGACGGTGTTGGCGAGGTTGGTCCGCTGAATTTCGGGAATTGTCTGCAAATACAACTCCTCCTTGAAGGCCTTCTCGGTAAAAAGTCTGAAGGCCTTACCAGGCCCCGTTCTTCCTGCACGACCAGATCGCTGCGATGCGTTGGCTTGCGAAATGGGGGTAATCTGAAGAGTGTCCATGCCCATTTTGGGGTTGTAGACCTTCATTTTAGAATACCCAGCATCAACGACATACTTGATTCCATCGACTGTTAAACTTGTCTCAGCAATATTTGTGGCGACGATGCACTTGCGAACTCCTGGCGCGGCTCTGTCGAAAATCTTGGCCTGCAAATCTGCTGGCATTTGACTGTAGATTGGCAGAATGCTCAATTTTGGCGGGTCATTGAGCGCATCGAGCCTCTTCTGCACGAGCTCACAAGTGATTTCGATATCTTCCTGGCCGGTCATGAAGACGAGGATATCACCTTGATCCATAGATACGTGGATAGCAAGAACTTGCTGAACGGCTTGGTCGACGTAATCTTCCACAGGCGAGCGATGGAACATGACATCGACAGGAAATGTTCGGCCTGGAATAGTGAACTCCGGTGCCCCTCCGAAAAATTCGGAGAAGCGCTTCGCATTCATAGTTGCGGATGTCACAATGAGTTTGATATCGCGTCTCCGCTGGAGGATTTTCTTGAACAGCCCCATCAAGATATCAGTGTTCAGCGCACGTTCGTGAGCCTCATCCATGATGATACATGAATATTTGTCCAAGTCAGGTTCATTGAGAGATTCTCTCAGCAGCACACCGTCTGTCATGTACTTCACCACGGTCTCCTTGCTAGTACAATCTTCGAATCGGATTGCATAGCCTACCGTGCTTCCCAGGGGAACCTCCATCTCTTCTGCGACACGCTTGGCGACACTCATTGCTGCCACTCGACGAGGTTGCGTACAACCAATCATGCCCGTCTTCCCATACCCATCCTCCATCAAAAACTGCGTCAGCTGTGTTGTTTTGCCAGAACCCGTCTCGCCAATAACGATGGTGACTTGGTTTTCCCGGATAACACGCAGCAAATCCTCGCGAACAGCAAATGCGGGAAGGTATTCACGCTGCTCTCGTAGCGTCTTGCTCTGGCTGAAGTTGCTCGCACCCTCCCCTTTCTTCATGTGTTCACTGAACTTGTTGCCTTTTCGATCTTCCTTGACCGTATCTTCCTCGCCAGCGATGGGGAGAGCGCTGTCTCCATCTTCCTCCTTGGCCCCTAGGATATTGCCAAGCACGGTACCAGCCATACTTGTAGCCTCCTGGGCCTGTCTCTGCCTCTCTCGTTGTTGACGTGCTTCCTTGACTACCTTGCTTCCCTTCCTGCTGAAGATCGCCATATCGCTCTGGTAATCCCTGACGGCCGGAATCGGTTCGACCTGCTTGGTGAAGATTGTCCGTCCATCAAGGAAGGGTGGTCGCAAGTCGTGCGTGAGCAGATGGACACGGGTAGCCTCCTGATCGTCGAAATCACTGGCCATATCCCTGCGCTGGGCGACACCCGAAACAAGCATTCGGTTGGTCTCCCAAGCGTCATTTTCCCTTTGCCTTTCTTGTCTTCGCGCGTCATAACGGCTTGCCATCTTCTCCGCCTTTGCCGACTCGACTTGCTGATTCTCCCATGCTGACATTTCATAGGATGCAAAGGGGTTATGTGTATCGTCGCCAAACACATGGCCGCCAAACTCATCTGCGCCGTACCAGTCGCGATCCAAGGCTTTCGCGTCCTCATCGGTCGGTCCCAGAACATCCTGGTCTCGAGGTGGTGGTGTCCCGGGATATTGCGACTGGCCACGGGGTGTCGAAGCTCGCCAGCCATTCTGGAACTTGGGCTGCGGTCGCGAGGAGTCAACTCGCCTCCGCTTCGGATTATATCCTTGGTATTCTCTGTCTTCCCCCATTTTCTGGCCGATTTTCAGTCCCCTAGCAGATGATTCTTATTCCTGGGAGGCAAAGGGGATAGCAGCTGTTAATCCATGTACTATAAACAAATAAACTGGGACGAGGTTTTGCCGACACCTTGCGACTGATAAGACGATAAGTTATCGATAAACACCACTTCCAAAAATTTTGGGCGCATACCGCCATAGTAAATAATGTGGTGATGAAGTAAAAAAAAAAAACAGTGCTCAAATTACGGTGCTATTTCCTAATTAACTTGCCATAGCTGCAGGTCATATTTGGATAGCCATGGCTTCTATGATCACTGCAGCCCAATGGGTCCCTCGTGGATTTGCGGCGCCTTTCCCTGAAAAATACAAGTTCGATGAAGCCGAGTTCGAGAGAATCGCAGAGCTTGCGAAGCTGCAGCTTGATGATGCCGAGGAGGACCTGAAGGAGGCGCAAGAAAAAAGTGGTGAAAAGGAGGATGGAAAAGACGAAGAAGATGGAATGCAGGTCGATGATGGCAAGCCATCCGAGAAAATCGAGTGGGTGCTGCAACTATAGACGAGAAATCGCAAACTCAACGGATGCTAACTACGGATTGGGTGTAGCCTGAACGACGACGACCTCAAGGAATATAACCTTGATAACTACGATGATGAAGACGACGGCCCCATTGGAAAAGGCGAACCTCTGTCTATGTTTGGAAACGTCAAGAATCTGGCCTACTACGAGTCAAATGAAGACGATCCCTACATCACCCTGAAGGGCGAGGAGGACGAGGATGAAGAAGGCGACGACCTCCAGATTCTCGCTACGGATAACCTTCTTCTGGCTGCCAAGGTTGAGGACGAGCTGGCACACCTCGAGGTCTACGTCTATGAGGACGCGGCAGACAATCTCTACGTACACCATGACATTATGCTGCCCGCAATCCCGTTGGCTGTAGAATGGCTGGACCTGCCCGTCAACAAGCCCGGCACGGACAAGGACTCGCGAGGAAACTTTGTCGCCATTGGCACAATGGACCCCGACATTGAGATCTGGGATCTGGACACGATCGATTGCATGTATCCCAATGCCATTCTGGGCCAGAAGAAGACCGCAGGCGGCGAGAAGCCTAAAAAGAAGAAGAAGAAGGCCAACCGGGCCAATGATGAGTATCACGTCGATGCTGTTCTATCGCTTGCCGCCAACAGGCAACATCGAAACCTTCTTGCGTCTGCCTCGGCCGACAAGACCGTGAAACTCTGGGATCTAAATACGGCCACATGCGCCAAATCCTACTCCTACCACACGGACAAGGTCTGCTCTCTGGCTTGGCACACCTCGGAACCGACAGTCCTCCTCAGCGGTAGTTATGACCGTACGGTCATCGCCGCCGATATGAGAGCCCCGGACGCCAAGGCCCCTCGATGGGGAGTTGAGAGTGACGTTGAGAATGTACGTTGGGATCCTCATGACCAGAACTACTTCTACGTCTCAACGGAGAACGGTATGATCCATTACCACGATGTGCGCAACGCTCCTGCTACCCCAGAAGCTACGAAATCGATCTGGTCACTCCAGGCCCACGATGAATCAATCTCCTCGTTTGATATCAACCCATCCGTGCCTGGTTTCATTGCAACGGGATCCTCGGATCGAACCGTCAAGCTATGGAATATCCAGGCCAGCGGTCCTTCTATGGTTGTTTCACGCAATCTGGACGTGGGTAAGGTCTTTGCTACTACCTTTGCGCCGGACCCTGAGGTGGCGTTCAGACTCGCCGTGGCAGGAAGTCACGGAAGCATGCACGTATGGGACACCAGCACCAATGCGGCAGTCAGACAGGCGTTCGCAAACAAGGTGCCGGAGAAGAAGAGCGACAAGGATGTAGAGGATCGATTGATCGGGGTGGATGCAGACGAGAGCAGCAGCGACAGTGAGGAGGGAGGCGACGATGACGGGGACAGTGATGATAATGAAGAGGCGGATGGACACTCAATGGACGAAGATTAAGCAGCCTGTCACAAAAAATCAAACAAGCTAAATAACACCGTTAACCCAATTAGAATACATAGAACTGAGCGATTGGAGTGAAGATGACAAGGATTTCCTTGCTCTCAATGGAGAAAAAGTACATATTGCATATTCCTCGGACTTTAGCTTATTCATTTATTTCTCATTCTCCATGGATATGCGTTTCACTTTGGGGCTAGATCCCGGATGTCAGCAAGGATGTCGATTGCGGGATCCTTATGGTTCTTTTACTTGCGGGAGGCACGGACGAGGAGTTTTGGCGATCGTAAAGCGCGCGATCTCTACCTATCTGCTCACGAACTTGCCGCCCAGCAGGCGCGTACAAGGACGTCGACGAGAAAAAAAAGGAACCATGTACTATTTTGACTTATCCAGGCTCTTGCTCGCTAGCGAAACTCGAAACGACCGAGATGCGCGCCGGCAACCTTCACGCAGGCTTGATTCCAATGATAGCAAAACTTGAAACGTAGGCCCAATCAAGTGCTACTTCATCTGGACGGGGAACTAGGGCGGAGTTGCATGATAGCCAGGTCCTGCACCTCCTGTGCCAGGGGCGGCAGGCATTATTGGGTTACTAGCGCAGGCACCGCGACAGACGGGCGGTGCCATCATCAGACGCCTGAAACAGAACGGCCTTCAGAACTCGACGGGGATGGCCCAATAGCAGAACGGAACGCGAGCTGCCCGTCGTGGAAGAGGCCCAAAGCGCTCCTCCCCTCCCCCTACCCAGGGAACCTGGCATCGAGGCAATTCCGAGTGGTGCGGTGGATACGCGCAAATGGGCTCGGCAGTGGGAGTGTCGCCGCTGTGAGCCCAGCCCAATAGACCGGTGCACGTCTCTGCTGGCAATGCAGTGACAGCAGGCGTTTTCCTTTTTTTTCCCCAGGCCGTTTCGTCATAGGTGTGCAGCTCGACTGAGACGTGGCAGGCTTCTGCTGGGATGGCTCATCTGAACAGCTCAGCACACGGACCATCGACTCCCGTGCGGACATGAAGCCACCGAGATTTGGTCTTCAAGCGTCATGCTGAGAGTCATGTCTTCTTTCTTTTTCTTCTTTTCCTTTCTTTTCCAGTATCTTAGGGTGGGAGTAAGGCGCCACGATTTCCACCGCGAAAAAGTACCTACCTACCTACCTAGCGCTAGACTGGTTGGTTGTCTTTAGTGGTGAGTTGTTGGGGGGGAGTGAGCAGGCTTTCACAAAGGGCGAGGGCGGTATTGTGATGGTATTGATGATTAGACGACAATAACGGGCATTCATCGGGGAAGCAGTGCCTGACAAAGAAGGCAAAATTGGATTGGCTGCCGTTCCTATTTGTGCATACAGTGGGTGATGCGACAAAGGAGCAGCAACGTGATTGTGCTCCTGCAGGAGGGGCTCATGCGCCCACTGGACGGTGAGGGTGGTGGTAAGTAGCGAACATGGCCGGTGCCGGGTCCAGCAGATGGTGGCCGAGGGCCGCACTCAAGGCACCTAAAAGCCCCTACAGCTTCTATCGGGTCTAGGCGCCTGGCAGTAATATACATGATTCGTAGTAGGCAGGTAAGGATGGATGGACAGGCCCTGTGCGCCCATACAGCCCCCCTGCCACGCGACTTCAGCGCACTAGAATCTTCGCAGCAGGTCTCTTATGCTCCCTGGCTGCAGGAGGCAGGCGGATGCTGTCTGGTGATCTCAGCGCGTTCGGCACGCTCTCGTGGGATGCTGTGCTTTTTTGTGAAAGGGGCCAGCCCTCTTCAGAGTCATGCAGGTTCCATGGCAGGGTTTCCATGCAGATCAGCGAATGGCTGATCATGCCGCCGCCTTAGAGAAACGTTTGACGCCTGCCCAACAGCACTAGTCGTGTGGAGTCGCAAGACTGGTGACGGCGCGGGAGCAAAAGCAAAGGAAAACTGGAAATAGCCGCAACTATCCAATGGGGGAGGCGGATGCGGCGGGCTAGCACTAGTCAGGGGTCGAGGATGGTGTACAGGGGGCTCCTTGCCGGCTCCTGCAGGCTTTTTAATGTTTCTGGGGGGAGGGACTGTGCTGTGCCTGGTGTTAATCGCACCATATCAGTGCCCGGCATCTCGCCCCAAGGCAGGTGCCAGCCCCGGCCGTCTCTTCGCTACCCTTTTCTCCCCGTCCGATCTTCACGCTCCCTCAGGAAGGCTGTCGAGCTCAAGCAATTTTTGCTTTCTTCTTCATCACCCAGAGCGCTGGTTCACGTTCGTCTCTCTCTCATTGAACGGATTGTGTTCCAAACACCGTTGCGCTTCCTCCCGTTCATTTGATTGTCGCAGGGCTCGATCAGAGATCGTCTGCACCTTTCTCACAGCTAACCCAACCGTCCGGACACGGCTCTTGTTCTCCCAAAAAAACGAATCGAAGCATTCCTGAGGACCCTCCTCGAAGCTGCCATTTAGATCGCAAGTGATTTGCCTTCTAGCCCACCGCCAAACAATCTGTGTATCAGATTCCGCGCAGCTTGTACTCCCAGGAACCCGGCTTGACTGCCGTTTAAGTGCTCTGAAGTGTGGCAAACCTTCTCTCCCGTCACTCAACTCTCACCGGTGTGCGACGGATCTGTTCACGGGCCACTCCGCAAACAGTAAAGACAAGCCTCTTCGCACTAAATCAGTCTGTGTCTGACTTACTCTCTTCGACATCACGTCGACGGGACTGGACTCACCACCATCAGTCTGTGAACTATCGCCAACACCAAGCACAGCATCGCCTTGTGCTTTGAGTTCTCAGCTGGAACAGGTTCCAGGTCAACAAGCCAAACTACTCCTTTGCACGAGGATTCAGTTTGCCTCGACTGTCAATCAGTTGAAGGAGCCACATACGACCTTTTTCTCGTCAGTGTGTGTTCTGCTTGACGACTTCGTCCGTTTTCAGTGAGCCAGCCGTTTTGGCCGTTTTTCTTCAACGGCTTCAACCGGTAGCCATTCGTTGCACTTACTGCTTCTCTCTCTTTTTTCATTATTCATTCTTTTCTTTCTGACCAACATACACCGCTGCGTGTGTGTGTTCCGTCTCTCGCACTTTTTTTGCCCGCTTTCTGGCACTCCCACCGACGTCCCCGCAGCGAGCACCAGATAACTCGGTAGCTACCTTCCGACTTCATCTTGGATGTAACATCAAAGCTCGTTGTTATCGAGTCACACTACACCTGCACTCGCCCTCACTGCTACGTCAACTAGCCCATCAACGACAACCTTTCTCGTGCCTCTGTAACGTGTCCCAACTTGGGCGCTTGTGGATCTTGAGGACTCACATTAACCTTTTGTCTTGAGATTCATTGCATCCACACACACAACAACGCCCACCTGATTTGGTTCAGGCTCCCCCAAAGTCACAGGGACATACTCCAAATCGGGAAATCGGAAGTCCTCGTGCGTGCGATCATTTATCTAAGAAGCCTTCCTGTTATCTTGCCCTTGGCCAGATATCGTTTCTCAGTTTTCTCGACACCGACCAATCCCCAGGCCTCCAAGATGTCTCTCGCAAGAGCGTTCACCACCCGTAGGGTGAAGAACTCTAACGATCCAGTTGAAACCGTGAAGCGCAGCAATACCCTCCATAAAGCGTCTTCACACTCGGTACTTCGCAGCCAAATCTCAGGCCCTGTCCAGCTCGTCCATACAACCAACATGCTCTCGTATAATGCCCCAGATATCCCCCGCCGGCCATCAGCAAGTGACTCTGTTTCAACCAGAAGTGAAGACGATTACGATTCGGCTACAACAATGAGTACGCCCTCGAGCACGCCACCAACCAGCCCTGATACCGACAAGGACTCTTACAGCCCGCAGCCGAACCATCTCTCTTCGTACTTTGTTGCCCCATCGAGCCATACGATAACATCCAGCGAGCTGCCACCGGCTATTCCTAAGCGGTCACCTTCACACACGAAGCAGGGCTCCTATGAGGCTGTCGCCCGTAAGCAATCAGTCAGACGCACATCCAAGGAATCCGAACAGTCCTTCTCTACCAAAGGAAGTGTGAGTTTCTCAAGGCCGTCGTCCATCTCCACACGAGCATCAACCACATCCTACGGCTCTAGCACGCACCAGACGAAGCTTTACGCACCCCCGCCTATGCCCTCTTCGGCCCCCGCGTTCGATCTTCCCATTCAGCATCCTCCCGCCCGGTCCGATTCAATTAGGAAACATAAGGTAGTCCCGTCTGATTCGTCAACGCACATCATCCCGGCTCGGTCAGACTCGATGCGGAAGCACAAGGAGTATCGGCCAGAACCACCAATCCAGCATTCTTCCCAAAAGTCTGCACCTAGTCCCTTTGGCAGTGAATTGGCCCAGGTTTCAGAGTTGGCAGAGGAGTTTGGAGCTCATTGCAGAATGGATATCGTCTACGAGGATGATCAATACCTCATGAGCCGAGGCCTGGCAAGAATGACGGCCGACGACTATCTGAATGAGATTCACAGTCTCATAGCCACTTTCTTCCCAGAACCTGCAGCCCCAACCCCAATGACCACTACGTGGATATGAGCCAAAAAACGAGTCACGTCTTTTCGCCCTCAGCGGCGCCATCTTGAATACTGGAGTTTACGTATATAAAATGAGCGAGAGACTGGTTCCGCTCACATACCCCGAGCAGCACACCGCACTACATATATCATCAATCACGATTGGTCTTTCATTAATATTTGATCGGCACTTAGCTATAGTCAAACTTTTCACTTTCACTTTTCTTTTTCGTTTTCTTTTTCTTCGGGGGAAATACCAGAACAACGTAGCACTCATTAAGATGAGAGGCGTTTTGTTCAATACAGGATCATTTATCGGATGGTGGGTCATTTTATGATACGAATGCTTTCAAATAGTCGTCCACGAATCAGATATGTCCTTATTCACTATTACAATCATCAGCTCGTCCTCAAACGTGACATGTAGATGATGCGTCTTTCCAAAATTTGAGCTTTTGGAGTAAGTAGGAAGACGAGGTGCCAATCACCTTGGCATTTGTAAGTGCCATGAATCTCACTCATGTGGGATATAGAATTCCCCACACGGCTGTATCCATGCACCCTTAGCTATGCGTCATGGAAAGTACTTTGATAGGGAAAGCGTCTAGATAGGCGAAAGGTATCTGGGCCTGTGCTTACCTACAGATGTTGGGGTAGAAGGAACGGGGCAAGTGGTGCAAACCTGTGCGTTGCACTCAGCTAACGCGCAATTTACTTCAACCGGAGCCATTCCGCATCAAGATACGTTGGATTCATTATCTCTAGTATTAGTCGATGGAGGTATCTTGCTATTCTAAATATTCTTAGCACACAGGTGGTTGCAGAGGGATATAATCATGATCCCTCAGGGCGATATAAACCGAGCCTCTCCTATGTGTACATAACCTGTGTCTGACAGGTTCAAGCTATCCAAGCGGTCCCATGATTCGATAAAATGATCGATTAAAACAGTGTGTGAAGAAAAGAAAACAAGGGTGGTCCAATCCGCCCCGGGAATTCATGGGTGAAGCGTAAAGAAAGTAGTCATAAGCTTATCATCGGCCGCCTAGAGGCTCTATCGATTTAACAAGATCGGTGATTGTGACGATCTCGTATCCCTGGCGCTTCAGTTCCGGCAGGACTATACGGAGCATCGGGGCTGTCCATTCTCTCCGGTCGTGGCAGATGATGATGGCGCCGGGGTGAGCCATGCTCAGGATATGGCGAGCATTGAGCTTGGGATAGGGGAGTTGGGGGTCGTGGGGGTAGATGCTGCCGAGGACGATGCGGAACCCTCTGTTCCCGAGGAGGTCGCGCATGCGGCGGTTGAAGAAGCCGGATCCGGGGCGGAAGTAGTTGTTTGGCAGGATCATGTCCTCGGCGGTGTAGACCTCGGTCAGCTTGTCCTTGACCTCGTTGGCCTGCTTCTCGAGGTCGGCGTTGGTGAGCGACTTGGAGGGCTCGTCGCGCATGGCGTGGTTGGCGAGCTCGTGGCCGCTGCGGATCATCTTGCGCAGGATGTCGTGGCGGCCGTCGGCCTGGACGCCGATGACGAAGAAGGTGGCGTGGGCATCGTTCTCGCGGAGGACCTGCAGAATGTCGTCGGAATCGGAGGACGGGGCATCGTCAATGGAGAGCGCGATGATCTTCTGGGTGGTGGAGACCTCGAAGAGGACGTCGGGGAACTTGTGGCGGAGGTAGCTGATGAGGTATGGCGGCGGCTTGTAGATGCACCAGATGGCGTAGAAGGGGAACAGGACCAGGAAGATGAGTAGCAGCAGGACCAGCTGGGTAGCCATGCGATTGCGGCGGACCCGTCGCCTGATCTTCGCAGGCCAACGGAAGAGGTGAAGTCGGGGCATCAGGGACAGTGCTGAACCGTCGGCATGTGGGATCTCGTGGGGAGACGAGGATCGTGTGACGGGGTTAAGGCAAGCTCATGTTCCGTTGAGTAAGCCCGCGCAGATAGGAACTGAGAAGAGGTGTGGCGAATGTAGAGCCTGCCTGATATGGAAGGTCTACTCGATGGGCTGCGACTATGATGAAATGCGAGATGGAGAGTCCTGATCCAAGGGAATCAATTGACCAGAACGAACCTACCGCAGTAGGTATTTTCCTCCCCCTGCCGGTGGCAGTTTCTCCAACGTGTGGTCGAACTGTAACGTCCATGTGGAGCAGGCTCAATCCAGGGGGAAAGACTAATTAAGGACTATCACGTAGGTCATTGGACAGAAATAGTCGCCTGCGTGATTGCCAGACCGGACGGGATCCACTATTGGGGCTGGTGAAAGGTGGCTTGTGAATGGGCTATTTTGGCGCCAAATCTACCCGCGATTGTCGCCGCCGCACCCGTTACGGTTGAATGGCTAAGCGCGATGCCGCAGGGGATTCGGATCTCCCCTCACACTGGCCCTACCTGTACCGAACGAAAGGATGGTCCAAGTTCCTGCGATCGTATCAAGCTTCTTTCGTACGAAATGCCTAGCACCCAATGATATCATAATGTCTCGGTGTCGTCGCTCAAGAACTTCATAGGCCCGCAACTAGGCCGGCATCTGAACACCTAAGAAGCGATTCTGAAAGTGAATCAGCCAGCAGTTGCAGTTGTTTGGTCACTTGGCAATCGAAACAGGATTCTGCAAGATAAAGAAACCCCAGAATCCATTAAGCGACACTGGGTTTCTCCGGTCTAATTTGCGAGATCAGAGCCGGAGCTATGAACAGTAACGGACTTCAGCGATATGCTGGTAAGAAATTAGGACGAAATATCCCGGTCGATGCCACAGCTGGCCACCAGGGCTGCTTGCACGGCCACACTTCTTGCTCCCAAACGTCAGCCTTCTGTAACATAATTGGCAGCGTCTGGTGGCGCCACAGCCAGAGTGCACCGGATATGGCGGTCAGCCACCTTTGTGACCTTGCTGGCAGCCACACCTTCCCTCAGCCTGGTATAAGGAAGATCTCTCACAACCCCAAAAGCCTGAAGCAAATAAATAGCCCACACGCTCCCGCATCATGTTTCCCTTTCAGTTTCTGGACCATGGCTCAGAAAGGACCTTGAACTTCAAATCAAATCACATCTTGCTGTTTGAAACAAGTCTTCGCCCAATACCCATACAGCCAACATGACAACCCTCCTTGAGCGTGTTCAACAAGCCCGCGCTCGCGAGGCTGCCCAGGCCGGCAGTCCTCCCTCAGAGTCGCAGCCCTCACGACTACCTTACTCATCGTGGCTGGAGCCAGCTCAAGATGGACCTTTTACCAGACAAACATTTCTCGAACGGTGGCTCGCCGATCTCGAGACGCCAACCGAGTTGAATCGCAGCCTGGCTGAGAAGAAGCAACAGCACAGTGAACTTTTCCGCTCATTACCGCCAACTCATACGATAGAAACCTCCACAGTAGTCAGACGCTGGACCACAGGATGTCTGGTCGAGTCTCCAGACACAGACGAGCTGCTGTGCGTGGGAGCATTCGCAACAAACAAGCCAGAACGGTACGTTAAAACTTTCTTGAATGGTGTTATTCTCTTTTGTCGTCCTCAAAGTAACACTCCCCATCGAAGCCCCGTGACCACCGCCCTGAGCATATCACTAGATGATGAAGCTTCAAGGGGGGTGAAGTCTCCGGTCAAAGCTCCAGCCTCTTGTCCCCCCAGCGTCAAGGGCAAGCTGTGAGCAGGCTATCGTCAAGGGAGCTCTGAAGAAATTGGCCATTTGTGCTGGTAGGAAAAGGGAATGGGTGCCTTTTAACATTGGCATCGTGATTTTTTAAATGTATGCGCAAGGTTTCTTTATGTGCTTTTTTCTTTTATTTCTTTCTCTTATTTCTTTTCTCTTTCTATCAAGACATTTGTGCTCTTTTTCAACTGTCTATATCTCTCTGTGTTTCTTGATCTCTCCTTATTTCTATTTGGTTGCTTGCAGCGCCTCGAAACCCTGCTGCAGATCCTGCTTCAGGTCCTCCAGTCCTTCGACTCCGATGCTAACTCTTAACAAGCGCGGATCCACGTTCGGGTCGGTCATCGACCGCCACTCAATCAGGCTCTCCACGCCACCTAGGCTTGTCGCGTGGTGGAAGAGCCCCAGCTTGCTGGGCAGCCTCCTTGCGGCGGCTGGGTCCTTGAGCCACACGGCGAAGACGGGGCCCCAGCCGTTGGGCATCTGCCTCCTCAGCCAGCTGCCCTCGTCCGCCGCCTCGGCCTGCAGGCTGGCGTGCTGGATCAGCTCGATTTGCGATCCCACGACGGAGGCCGGGTCCGCCTTCTCGGCCGCCAGCCAGGCGACGAGGGCCGTGGCTGTGGCGCTCTGGCGTGTGACGCGGAGCTCGAGCGTCCGCAGGGAGCGCATTCCCAGCCAGCCCTCCAGGCTGCCCATGACGGAGCCGAGGACGAGGCGGTCGTCTCTTAGCTGCTTGATCCACTCCTCCTTGCCCGGGCGGACGGCCAGCACACCGCACAGCATGTCCGAGTGGCCGCCAAAGTACTTGGTCCCGCTGTGCATCACCACGTCGGCGCCAAAGGCGAAGGGGTCCTGCAGGGGAGGGGGCGCGAAGGTGGCGTCGACGGTCAGGTAGGCGCCGGCCTTGTGCGCCTTGTCGGCGTAGTGCTGGAGGTTGCGCGCCTCGCCCGTGGGGTTGAGGGGCGTCTCGACGTGGACGACGTCGCCGGGCCCCAGCTCCGAGGGGTCGCAGTCCAGCGGGAGCTGCTGGAGCCCCGTCAGGCGGGAGAGGACCCTGATGACGCCGTGGCAGCCGTGGTAGCCGTCGCCGATGGCGATGCGGCGCGGGTTCAGGTGGACCAGCATGGCGTGGAAGGCGGACAGGCCGGAGCTGTAGGTCAGCGACGGCCCGTTGAGGATGGAGGCGAGGATGGCCTCGACCCGGGTGGCGCTGGGGTTGGTGTCTCGGGAGTAGATGTGGGAGTCCAGGGGAGCCGCGGGCTGTTTGCGTCGTCCCCAGAATGAGAATGTCAGCCTCAGTCAACTCCTATAGCTCATATACATCCTGATATCGAAGTGTCGGGCAGACTTTCTGCTCAGGTCAAGAAACCAAGTTTACTTACATCCGTGTTTACCCACACCTTCAGTTGATCCGGGTCATCGTCGTAGCGGAACGTGGTGCTCACATGCATTGCCGGTGCAATGGCACGGTGGGCGGAGATGTTGTCGTCGGCATGGACGACCTTTGACGACAACGAGGTCAGCGTCGCGCCGGGCGTCTTTCCAGCGCCGGGCCCGGCCCCGCGTAGCGCCAGCTCTTCCGTTGTCTTTTCGGCCATGGTCTTTGCGTGGTAGTGGCGGGTTCCTCTCGCTCCCTTCGTTGCGGATTCCCCAGAAGTTAGGTATCGTGTGTCTTGGCGAAGTGTTCCTTTCCCCAGAATTCTTTAGTTTTTTCTTTCTTCAGCTTTGAATTAGAAGGGTCCGTACTCCCCACCTCTTATATAAAAATACTCACGTAACTCGGGTGGGATTCGGTCTTGGGCTCTCATGGCCAGGCGAAAACGAAGCGGGGCAGCACGCCATTCTGATTTGATCACCGTTGCTAGTCTCCGGCACCGGTGCGGGTGTTATTCTCACATGATGGAGAATGGTGGTCGATAAGGCGCAATTGGCATATTCGTCCCATCAATCACGGGAAAGCCCATTGTGTTGTTTCACATTCATGTTTGGCTGAGATAATTCCTAGTACAGGATGCAGTGTTTAAAAAACTCTGTTTCTACGAGTTCCCAGGAGGGTAACTCGCTCATATTCCATTATCATTAGTTATATGTACTATAAGCACCAGTTGCGTGCTTAGTATCCGTATATGCTCCAACCCCAAAAAGGCCTGGGTTGATCTCTATCTCATGATAGGCAAAAATGTTTAGTAACGACCGCAAGTCTAACCCAAACCATTCCCAAACGCCAAAAACGAGTGGACGTAGCCAGCTGAAACGAAAGGCACCGTAATTATTACACCGTATTTCAATTCCAGATGTCGTGAATATCACCTTTCTTTCATCGCATTTTGTTTGAAATTGTCCCGGACTCAGTGGGAGCGGTCGGAGACGGTCACCATGGGCTTGGCCTGGTCGATGCTGCCCAGCTCAGCGCCTTGCCCGCTTTGGGCCCGCTTGCGACTTGGCAGGAATCGTGACATGGAGTTTTGGCTGGTGAGATCCTTGTCTTGGCCCTCGGAGAATTTAGAGAAGAAACCGCGCTTGCGTGATTGCTGGGCGTGCTGTTGCTGCTGCTGGAGTTTCTGATCTTCGAGGCCGACATCCTCGAAAGCCTCCTCGGCAGTGGGGAGGGGACGGTCCGCCAGCGATCGAGGAAGACGGGGATATCGGGTGCAGTCAAGACTGTTTCCTCGCGACGGGACCTCATTGGGATTGATGGGCGAGCGGGCAGAGATGTCCTATATGGTCAAGGTATGAGCATCCTGGGCTGCGACAATCGACTAATATGAATGGGGGTGACGAACAAAGGAGCGCCTGTAGGAATCAAATGATTCACGCGAAATTGAGAAGTGCTCGATATCACCGAAGCTGCTCCTAGTATCGGTCGAATTTCGAGAGAGGAACTTGCGAGGCCACTGGCCTTGTTCCTGAGTGGGCGATGGCTGCGTATGTTAGCATCGTATATACAGGGTTGTGTACATGGAATGGCTCCTTACCGGAAGATAGACACCGCTATCATTGACAACTGGTAAAGAAAAAGTTATGTCAGATGAAATGACCTATGAGAGGCGGTATCCGAATTGGCTGTAGTCTGGTATAATACGTACCACTCATCTTATACTCGCCATTGTCCTGGGACCTGACACTTCGGATGCTAAGGGCGGAAGAGGCCTTGGATCCGACAGTGTCGACTCGTTCAAAGCCCGGGGATACGGGCGAGAGGTTCTCATCATTGACGACAATCACTCCCGGGCGACGAGCAAAAGGGTTACGAATAGGCATTTTGTCGGTTAGAAAAACAGTGGGCGACCGAGATATCCGGAGTGGTTGAAGGTCGTGTGATGAATCCCGATCTTACGCACGGGGCCGGGTAGGGTATGTCAATGCAAATAATTCTGCTAGTCCCTCACTAGAAAGGCACGAGGGGCAAGATACAAGTTGGGTACCGAGATGCTAGTTAAGTCTTTGGGGGATGAAGATGGGGAAATGGAGGAGGCAGGAAAACGCAGTACAGTGAGGCGGGAAGGCAGGAATTCGGGGGGGAATCTTTCATAAGAATCTAAAAGTCGGACATTAGCGTTCGGGGGGACTTGCCCGTTGGCTGGGGCGCCAATTAATTTTTGTAGTATTACTCCCGCGGTACGGTCCATGCCCACAGCTTTAATGAAGGTGTGTACCCAGTACAAGGCAGATGATGGCAGTGACAGTGGCACCACTGGCAGGGTTACTCCATGCCACCACTTCGGCTCCGGATTGCCAGGCCTGGCAAAATCAGGCTTGCCAGAGCTTGAGAACCGGGTCCCGGCGATCGCACGCCAGGGGCCGTGGGTTGATTGAGGACCCGGCTTTCTCCCTCATCTGCCTCTGCTGCTGCTGCGTCTCCGGCAGTTCCGGCACCCAGTAGCCGCCAGCGACTCGCAGTCGGTTTCGTCAAAGTTTGCAATGCAGCGAGCTTTGTGCCACTAGCAATGGAACATAGTAAAGCACTAGACATGCGTGTGGGTTGGGGGAGGTTCTGTGTGCCACCGAAGAATCCAAGGGTTTGCCGCTTTGGGCGCAAAGTACCAGGTACTCGGCCCTCTAAGCCATGATGGGTGTCTGGAGAAGGGCAGACGGCAAAATCTAGTGCCGCTTGGCGCCATTACTTGTCGTCATCATCTGAGGACTTCAGATTCCCTCGCTCCTCTTGGCCGTAAGAACGCATGTCAGCCAGGTCGGTTACTGGCCTAGCAATCCTAGCCTCGCCAGCTAGCTGTAGATCTCGCTGCAGTGAGACAAGATGGACAGCTTTGCGCCCGAGCGAGTCTGTGTGTCGATTACATGCAGGAACACAGCCACAGCGATCAATACCCAATCCCGCCCTCCGCAGAGGCGGAAACAACGCTGTCTCGAACCAAGCCTCAATCCCTCCTTGCGGGTTTGCATGCCAGATGCAAAGTGTATTGTGGTCATTCGTCCAACTGCGCACCCTCAGCGGCAGCCAAGCAGAGCAGGTGTGTACGCGTGTCTTGGCTTGAATAAATGATGGCATCTGCGTTGGATGCTAGCTGCAACGTTAACGGGCGTTGGTGGCGCCATCAAACACATGCCAATGGTCTCTAGAGGTCCATCTACATCTAGATGGGTTAGCAGGAAAGGAGGATGCCAGCTCCATCATCTTTCAATTCCGCGCTGTGGTACCTGATCTGGCCCCGAATGAGATCATGACCCAAAACCTGCTATGGGGAAGAGCCGTCCAGAAGAGGCAATTGGAAGCAGCGTGCACTGTGCTCATGACATTCGCTATCGCAAACTGACCAGGGGCATGAATCGAGAGAGCTGCTTGCCCCTCACCACCATCAACACGTGCTGCTGATCACACGACTGGACGAATCCCAGCCCGCAATGTGTGCTGCTCAGAGCGCGTCCTCGGCATCGGGTTTCGTTGCCGCCCCGATCATGCCAACGGGTGCGCCTATCATCGAATGGGTGCGCAGCCTTCCGCATTCGTACATCTCTTTCGATCGGCATAAGACAGGTGGGTGAACAAATGGCAAGCTACCCACAGCCAAGATAGGACAGTTGAGACCGCCTGGTCCAATTGGGGTGTGTGCTTGCTCGCTCCCCATCCTGCTTGGTATTGCGACCGTATCAGACTGAGGTAGCCTTGACATGCAATGGGTGATACCTGGGGCTTGGGTGTGACAATTAAACACGTCTATAACGTGCAAATATCCTGACTTGCAAGTATTGATCTTATTCTTAAGGTACTCGTGCATGTGCACATCTTTACCTACCTACTTACTTCGATATCGAGTTGGCTATGCCAGAAAACTACCTATGGAACTGTAACATTGCGCAACCCGTGGGATGAATTGATGTAGGAACTGGAGAATTTATTTCTTGCTAACTGTCTTAATTGGAAATTTACCAATCACTGGGCAAATAGCTGATGTAGACAAAGGCTGTGGACAGTCTCTCATGGTTGTGTGGTGCGGCATCCATAGGACACACCACTAGTAGGTTGGCTATCGCACAGCAAATCCTGCTTTACTTCTACGCATGGCAGGCCACCTTGCGTCTCTTCGAAAAGTTTGCAATTGAATACTCGAAAAATGTGGATTTCTATTTGGGTAGCGACATGTAGTACCAGTCATTTCGGAGTAAACTCTTGGGGTTTGGGGGATTAAGCCAAAGAAGGGCTGCACATATCTGCCTTCTCCCCTGCAGTTTAGCTGATTCTACCTCCAGCAGTGATTCAATGTTGGCAATAGGAGTATCTTCTGTAGGGCAGTGAGATTAGAAGGTAGAGGTAGTTACCACTGGACGCTCAGTGAGCGGTGCCTTCCTTCTTAGTACTGTTGTACCAATCATCACGACGTGGAAAGAGCAACCTCTCAACTCTCTCTGCTCCTCACCTCTCTTTACCAGTCCGACCCACGTTCCACCTCGCTCCCATAAACCAGCCGACTCCGTGTTCCACCATCTGCAGTTCTCTCGATGGATTTGACTCAAAAGCACGTATCCATCAAGTCCATCGTCGCACACGGCCACGTGCTGCTAGTTGTTTGACCCAAGTCTTTCGTTTTTGTTTTGAATTGACTCTCTTTGACCGCCCCCATTATTGCCGAAATTCTTAAAATTCAGGATCTCTCGTTCCAGTAATTGTATTTTCGGTTCGGTTTGGATTCCTCATGAGCAGCTCACGAGTATTCCGAGATGGGCACCACTTTCTTCATCGGATGGGAGCTTTGGCAACAAATGACCTTTGTAGTGTTCCAGCTTGACTCTTATCCCCAACATCAACTAGTACCTCAAGCTGACCGGTAGCTCATAATTCTAGGTTCTCGCCTGCAGTATCATACTCGTATTCATCCTTGGTCTAGGGAAGCTCTGGTGGACAAATCGATTGATCCAGAAGTTGGAGTTGGAGGATGCAGAGAAGAAAGCCCGACAATTCGATATTCGGCATTGTGGGATCGACTACTTGAGGGCCGATGATATACCATTCGGAGTCCGGGCAATCCAACGGGGAATCGAAGTGGAAGGCATCTGGATCTCACAGGCCAACACACCCGACCTCAGTCAAGTTGCTTCGTCGGCTACACTCATCGGCGATCAAACAGATCAAGCAGAGGGGTCCAAATATAAAAGCTCGCTTCCCGACATGGATATTACTATTCATAGCGACACAACCCTCGGGTCTGGCTGCAATCGAAATGGCAACTTTAGTGATGCTCATCTAGACTACCGTTCACCAAGGCAGTCTTACAGGTGCCCGAGACATGAACCTGTGAAACAGCTCTGTGTTGGCCTCCAAAACATAGCAACTGCTCCGAATTCGCCATCTGTGCCAAGAGTAACCAGTTACGTTCCTCGAGGGGCACGTGGGGATCTGATACCGGCATATGAGGAGCAGTTTGTTGCTAGGAACCTGAAGGAGCGAGGCGGTCTTGTGAAAGACCAAGATGAGATCAAGAGCACCAACTACTATCAAGTATAGATTTCCTCCTGGAGACTTGGTTGCTGGTGTCGCAGGCAAATGTGACCATTGTTTGGAAGGTTGCGTTGGTATAGACTGAGCAATGACTGACACACGATCAAGTCGAGGTGGGCAAGAAGAGGAAGAGAACTACCGATCCGCCAGGATTATGTGGTAGGAAAAACATCTGAACATAGAGAGGGAGATCTAGGGCTTGTTTAAGCCCTTCATTGCATAAAAAGTAGGAAACCACAAGTACATCAGAGAATTAGGCTCATGATAGAAATCAGGCAAAGTCGTGGGCCTCTCATACATAAGATTTTATAGAAATAGAGCATGAATGAAATCAAAATAAGAAAAATTGAAGAGTATCTTTTAATTTGGGGTTTATCAATCTTTCTTTCTATGAGTCTGCAGAAATATACATGACTGCGATGAGTGATTAGTACGGAGGGCACAACTTCTTGCACGTGGAATGTGACATGTTGTCTCTTTCTCTATTTCTCACTTACCGTTATTTCCTCGCACGAAGGCGTCGCCGTACTCCCTCCGCTTAGCACCATTGACGTACTCTGTCGTCTTCTCCAGAGCGATGTTCATGTATCCATCCACAGACTGGAGCTCTCCTGCGTGCGCATAGCAGTGTCAGTAAAGGAACGGTTGTCCCTGAGAATGTAATGAGATAAAACATATGACAGAGAAAGTACATACCCTTATAGACGACACCCGAGTTGAGCTTGACGGTGACGGGGTTACCGATAATGTCGCTGAGAAAGCTTGAAGGGTCCTTGCCCTCGCCCTGGCTGACGCTTCCGTTCTCCATGGCTGCAGCTGAAATTGAGTGGCTGGCGGATGAGTTGTGCCGGGCAGTGTGCGATGAGGCGAGGTGGTTGTGAGTGAGGTGTGAGGTGCGGTGGAAGACCTGGCATCAATCCATTGTCTGGATCTTTCATTCGCAGGCGTCGCACACACCAGTTTGCACTGTGGGATGGTGGGGCTCCATGTACCTCGCAACAAAACTGATGGCAGCAGCAGCGGACAAAGGAGTCTAGCGCGCTCTGTCGCGCCATCAGAGGTACGTCCAGTTAGTGGCAGGAGTCCCCGATGCAGCCTGCCGTGCACTGTGACAAGGAGCGCCTCCCCAAGCACAATCAATAGGTGCAATCAACCGACAAAAGCAACAAAGCGTTTCCGTTCTGATGAGCCCGCGGGCCGCCTCTCTGGTTGGCTTGCGCATTTCAGTAAGAAGCCCGCCCCTGCACTCACTTTGCTTTTTCTTCTTCGAGGCACCGCAGCCTAACGCGCTCCCACGTCCAACATCTTGAACAATCAGCCCACTACCTACAGCATTCTCGACTTATTCCATCTCCTGCGCACTCGCTCTCCTCACGATACCGACATGGCGACAGACGCGATACCACCCAAGAAGCTTAAAAAGCTACCCTTCAAGCCTACGGCCCTCGGGAGGGCAGCCTCATCCAGAAGCAAGGATCCCGAATCGGACGACTACGATGTCACGAAACTATTCAGCCGCTCTAGGGAAATGGCGCCTGCCCTTCACGCGGAGGAGGAAGAGAGATGGAAGAGGAAACAATACAAGTTGAAGAAGGAACTCGAGAAGTCCAGACTATCTGCCGAGAAGCGGCCCATCGACGACGACGACGACGAGGAACATGGCAGTCCTGGCGCCAGCCAGCCCACAGAAAAGGCGTCCGCCAGTGGAAGCCAAAAACGAGATGCGCGAGGAGACAGACATCAAGAAGATAGCTTTTCACAGGCAGACGAGGAGGATGAGGAAGCCCCAAGGTACGGCCCAGCCTTATGCGCCATCTTTGCCTGTTCCTTTTCGACTGTAGATATTGACATTAGTTGTGGTAGCTTGGTCACCCCACCATCATCCAAGCGTGTAAGGCTTGATAAGTCATGGTCCTCGAAGTTGAGCCCAGGCGCAACATCTTTGAGCCAGTCCTCAGTACCAGAATCGCCTTCTCCCAGAAGAAGCAAGCGGCTGGCAGAACTGCCACCATCCGAGTCTCCTGAGGTCGAATCTACACGCGAAGTGGCATCATCCCCCATCTGTATAGAATCCGACGACGATGAGGTCGAAATCGCAAGACCCAGCCAGTCTAGCACCAATGTCAAGATAGACGATGAGGAGCCTGTCGAGGACGACATCATTGAGGAAGAGGAAGAGTTTGCCGAATATGTCCAGAGGGCAAAGGAGCAGCGCGCCCGTGATCTCTCCCGCGATCTTGATTTTGATTGTGACGATAAAGCCGTCAAAGTACACGTCAGTAGCCAAATTCATGGCACCCGGGATTGTCTGGTGATCGTCAAATATGACAAGAGCCTGAAAGACATTCGAAAATCTTGGTTTCAGACCCAAGCCAAGTTCGATATATCACTTCCTCCAGGTTTCACCATGAGTGATTCTATCCTGACATGGTGTGGCGCACCGGTCTACAGCCACACCAGCCTTCGTGATCTGGCTATTAGGCCCTGTGGATCTGGTAAGGTGACTGCGCCAAGCTCAAACCGAGATGGTGTCAGCCCAGACGGTACTGTGGTCCTTATGCGGATACATACCCCTGATGGCTTCAGGATCTTCGAGGAAGAAAAGCGTCGGAAACGCGAAGCCGACGACTTCTCCGACGACGAAGAACGTGAATTGCCGGAATCCGAGGCTGAAACCTTGACGATCAATCTCGCGGCCCGAGACTTGGAGCCAGCTGAATTGAAGGTTCAGCCAGAGACGACTGTTGACACAGTCATAACGACCTACCGAGCCATTCAAAATATACCGTCTTCTCGCCAAGTTACTCTTTGGTTTGATGGGGAAATGCTTGAAGACTATATCACTATGAAGGATGCTGATATTGATGATTTGGATACCATCGAGGTTCATATCAAGTGATGGCAGGCCACGCGAAAGCCTCTGGGGCTGTCCTTTTATTTATGTCTTTGGAGCCTGGGCGCAGGTTTTTGATACCCCGTTGTTTATCTTTGGTTGTTTTTGCTTTCCTAGTCTACCCTTCTTCACCAATCTCAAACAAAATGCGATCAAGGTCCGGATATATTCCAATTATCGCTTGCAAAAGAGCAAGACAGCCTTTTATTCTCACTCAATATCATAGCATATCTATTAAGCGTGCTTTAAAGCGATATCTCCTTGGAAAAATAAGCAGATTCGATATTGGAAACCCCGAAATATCTGGCTGCGCCCCTCGTTTGCCTAACACTTTGGTGGTTGTCGCGGCTCAGGGGGGTAGACGACAATCTTATCGAGGTCGGCACCCTTGATGTTGAACCCGTTGCTGAGACCACCGACGGTGATTGTGTTCTTCCCTTTGTTAAGGGGAAGCTTGAGGGCGGTGGAGAGGATGATTCCCTTGTGCGTGTCCTTTTGATACAGCGTGTGTATTTGGTCTTCGTTGTCGTTGACAACGACGCTGCTGACCCGGCGGAGCTGCCATGTGCCGTTGATGCGGTCGGGCGCTCCCATGGCTAAGGGTGGAGGTCAGTAACAGGAGAAAGTGAACGACAGGTCTGATTTGGTGAGGAAAATTGGGAACTTACGCTGATCTCCGAAACCCATGTCATCGATATCTGGACATGTCCTGTGAGTTGGCCGTTCTGAGATGAGGAGGAGAAGTTACTTACTTTGATGGTAGAACGAGACCCATTGGTCATCTCCTTGGCCGTCAACCTCGAAGGTGATCTTACTGTCATTTCCATAAATTCCTGTTGCGATTTTGCTCAAGGTTGCAAAGTTCTACGAAGGGTTGAAATTAGTAAGAAATCAACGTTTCTTCGGTTGATGGGATCGCGAGAAGGAGGGAAGGGGAAGGGGATGCACAGTTAGGGCCAAGACTCACAGCTTCTTGCAAGTACGCACCGCCAGTCGTCTTGGCCTCTGCAGCCGGGTACTCTTTGCCCTCAACAGGTTCCCACTCGCCGGTTTTGCTGTCATGAGAGCACAATAGTTAGCGCACGCGTCCAGTCTAAATACAAAAGCGGATTCCTTTTAGCACTTACACGTTAAGGTCATAGATGTCGTGCCACTTGACTTCGAGTTTGCCCTTGTCATCATCGATGTCCATTGGCAGCCATACGTTGCGGCTTTCCCAAATCGAGTTTCCGTCCCACTGCGCTCTATGTTAATCTCTGTTCTGGGCACATGGCAAAGGGAGGGGAAGAGGAAAAGAGGTGAGTGTGAGTACAAGACATACCTGATCCGCCATGTAGAGATATGTTGTCTGTTTGGTACCGTTGATCCGCCATGAGAAGCCCGATTGGGTCGAGAAAGTTCGAGTGTAGGCGGGAGAAACGAAGAACGGCTGCGACCACGGACCCTCCAAGCTGTCAGCTCGGAAAGCGACGACATCTAGAAGTTTCTCCCGTCAGTTCAGAGTATTCAAGGCCCTGGCCAGAGTGTAGCGGCCCGGGCCATCCATCTTCACTCACTGTTGGGCCGGTAGCCGGTCTTGTGGCTCATGAGGGCATAGTAGCTCTTCTCAGTCTGGATGATGGTCGGGGCCTCGAGGTCAAACTTGGGCCAAGTGTAGACGACGTCCTCGAGGTCAGTGAGCCCCTCGTTGAACCTGGTGAGGTAGTTGTCGCGGCCCTGGACCGAGTCCCCGTTGGAGTAGAGGGCATATGACCGGCCATCCTTGTAGTCGGTAAAGAGCCCAAAGTCCTGTGACCAGTTGCCCAGAGGTGCGACGGCCTTGTCGAACAAGTACGGCCCGGAGATGTTGTCCGAGGTAGCGTGACCCTGCAGGAGGAGGCTGTACTTGCTGTCGTCGGCGTGCCACCACATCTGCAGGAGGATCATTTGACTTTCAGCATTTTTTCTGGAAGCAACGTAATGAAGATCGGGGGTATTACTTACGTGGTACTTTTGGTCGACATCGCTGTACTGGACTTTAGGGCGTTGGATGATGCTCTCTGGGGAGATGAACTCGTGACCGTCCTCGGGGGCTTAAACGAGACCTGCATTAGTGGATTCAAACGGAAAGAAGAAAGAGAGATCAGAGATGTGGAGGTTCACGCACTCAGGGCAAGGCCATGGGATGTCCAGGTTGCAAGATCGTCGGAGCTGTATACGGAGACACCACCGCCCTCGGGGTCCTCCTTGGTCTTGTGCTCTCCGAACCAGAAGAACCTTCCGGTGTCACGATCAATGGCTAGACCGCCGGCGTGAGCATTGAAGATGTTACCCTCAGTGTCGTACCAGCGGGCACCGGGGACGATCCACTTGGAATGGGCCGTCGTGGCCAGGGCCAGAAACGCGAGGAGGCTCTTGACAGCCATTGTTGACATTCAACTCGATTTGGTCCCTCAGCTGTCTGTTTAGAGTTCCAATGGCTAAAATGCCACGGGGAGAGGATCATGATCGACTATATACCCGGCGTGAGCTGGCCATTACTCCGGTACTGTCCTTGACGGGTAAACTGGCTACCTGTTTTACCTACTCAACGACATCACTTGCGCCGGGGCAGACTACCTTGACGGGCTACGGACAGAACAGCCGCCCCAGTCAAGACGATGACGGCCTCAGACCATCTCCACACCGAGGACGGTGCTTAATCTGAACCCTGTCACGATCGAGTGCTTATTTTCTTTCTCTGCCGAAGCGTTCCCCCACACTGGGCTAGCAGGGGGATCTTCAGTCGGCCTCGCATTGCATTAACCCGAGCCCCTCCAGGCGAGGGCCAAGGTTGCATTCCGCATTTATCCCCCAGCTCGGGCTCACGAGAACATGGCCTCGGGACCAAAGGAATTACTCCGAGACAAGGAAGGGGCCAAGGAAAACGAACCAGAACTGTGCTGGGAGTGGTATTATGTCGAGGTCCTGTCTCACTTGTGAGTTCTATGCAATGCTACATGGCCGTGCCCGCATGATATCTCTGTTGGTAACGAAGGTTTGTCTGATGTATCAGCTGCCTTCTCCCCCCCAGGGCCTGTTCCCCATAATCGCCTCCATATGGGGGAGGACGCAGCGAACAGATGTTACGACCCCAACTTTTGATCAAATTACCCCATGGGTTTCACTGCAGGGGGATGGGGTACTGGGAAATTCCAAACAAGTCTTTAATTGCGATAGACAACACCTGCTGTAAATGGGTATAAAATATGAAAAGGGGGACAGGAAGCGAATAAGTGAAGAGAAGAAGGACGATGAGAAGAATAAGTTGAGATGGTATAAATTGAGTCCATCACCAGTTTGGGTGCATCGAAAATCAGCCATCCAGACTGACCCCAAGCGGTCTTTGTTTTATCCGAGTAGATCCTGCCTAGACCCTTTTGTCGAGTTTGATCAGCATCATGCAGCTGCTTCCTTGGTGGATCGTACCACTCCTCCTCATCAGCATCTCGCATGTCGGGATGGCTTTGCTTGAGGAGCGGTTCGTCGCCTTTGAAGCCGGCGATGGTGGAGCGCTCGAGCTCCAGAATGCCACTATAATATATGACCCCCAAGATCCAAAGGCTGTCCGTATAGCTGTTGATAGCCTTGCGGACGACTTAGAGCAGATTATGGGAAACAAGCCTCCCGTCTGCGAGTGGTCCTCGACGGATTCTTGTGGGGATGAGGTTGCATCAGCCATTATAGCTGCTACAGTGGACTCGGATCTGATCAAGAGCCTGGAGCGAAATGAAAAGATCAATGTATCGAGCATCCGAGGGAAATGGGAGACCTTCCAGACTTCCATCGTTGAAGAACCTCTTCCTGGGTTGAAGAGGGCACTCCTCATCGCGGGAAGTGATAAACGAGGAGCGGCGTTTGGTGTTTATACCTTGTCGGAACAGAGCGGCCAGTCTCCGTAAGTTTGGCAGTTCTCAAGCCTGTCTGTTTTGTCTGTCTGTCTTTCACTTCAATTAGTATATGCCGACCTAATAGACGGGCTGGTCGGTCCCCCTACTTGGTTTCCTACATCTACAAACCCAGCCTACACTCTGTTACTGAGTCTCAACTAGCCTCCACTTCTGGGCCGATGTGCCTGCCCAGAAACATGACAAGATCTATGCCCTGCCCAAGACCACCACCTACGGAGAGCCCAGTGTCAAGTACCGGGGACTCTTCATCAACGACGAGGCTCCCGCGCTCACCCAGTGGTGGGCCAAGAAGAACAATGTCAGCGACTACACCTTTGACTCCAAGTTCTACGCCCACGTGTACGACCTGATCCTCCGCCTCAGGGGCAACTTCATGTGGCCCGCCATGTGGCGGTCCTACATCCCCCGCCCCGGCCGCATCTTCTTCACCGACGACCCCAAGAACCAGCAGGTGGCCGACGACTACGGGATAGTCATCTCGACCAGCCACCACGAGCCCATGCAGCGGGCCTCGAACGAGTGGGCCGTGGTGGGCGAAGGGCGGTGGGACTGGGAGGAGAACAAGGAGAACGTGGCCGCCTTCATGGAGGAGGGCGTCCGCCGCGCCGGCACCAACGAGTCCTACTTCACGCTTGGGATGCGCTCGGATGCCGACGGCCCTATCGAGGGCGATGACCCCGTTGCGATTCTGACGGATATCATGGATACCCAGAGGCAGATGATTGCCAAGTATCACGGGAATGAATCCGCAGCTCCCCGTATGTTGATTCCCCCAACTAGTCATAGACTTGACTTCATCTCTCCCCCTACATAAGACTTATCACTTACGCCTGACCAGAGGTTTGGACTGTCTATAAGGAGGTCCAGGGCTATTACGAATCAGGCCTGGTCCCCCCAACAGACGTGACACTCATGTTCTCCGATGACAACTGGGGAACAATCCGGAGACTCCCAAAGAAGGACGAGCTTGGCCGAGAAGGAGGTTACGGGGTATGCGATGTCCATACGTTTGAAATGTGCCATATAACTAATACACAGGGGTATTTCTAGTTATATCATCACCTTGCCTACGTCGGCGTGCCCAAAGCCTATAAATGGCACAACACAAACAACCTGGTAAGCACAGAGTCTAAAAGGCTGCATTATCCAGTAGCGAGTATTCAAGGATATGTCAAGGCCTAACAGATGATTGTTTACTTCAGCCAAAACTCTACAAGGAGCTGTATCATGCATATGAGCGAGGTTCAAGGCAGATCTGGATCCTCAACGTCGAGGATATCAAGCCTTTGGAATTACCGTTCTCTTTCGCCATGGACATGGCCTGGAACATCTCAAAGTTCGACTTTGACTTCATCCCCGAGTACCTCACTCGGTTCTCCGCCCGCGAATTCGGTGAAGAGTTCGCCGAAGAAGCTGCGAGTGTGCTCTACAACCACAGCCGCTTGGTCGGTCGCCGCAAGTACGAGATGACACTCCCCGAGACGTACTCGGTTATGAACTACCACGAGGGGGAACGTATCGTCAAGGACTGGAACGGGCTGGCGGAGAGGGCTAAATCCATCTATGACCGACTGCCAGAAGACAGACGCATCGTGTTCCACCACCATGCTCTCTATCCAGCACTGGCCGGAGCAAAATTCCACTCCATCATGGTCAACCGTGCGACGAACTGGCAATATGCTCAAGAGCGGCGAAACTCGTGCAACGAGGTCGCCCAGCAGATCCTCGACGACTTCGCCGACGAGTGGGATCTCGTGATCGAGTACGAGAGCCTCGTCGACGGCAAGTGGGCAGGCATGCTGTCGACTCCCAAATTCGACGTCGGCCTGGACAGGTCGGAGCCGTCCTCGCGCGATGTCATCACCAACATCTCGTACATCCAGACACGGCAGGAGTTTGACTACAGCTTCGGAAACCTGGGCATATACGCCGAGGGCTGCGGAAGCGCAATCCGTCAGGGGCGGACAATCGCATCCGCCAACCCCGCGTTCCCTACCGAAGGCGATCTGAGGCCGTTCCTACCGAGCTTCACACCATATGGCCCGGACCTGCTGACGGTCGATCTCTTCCACAGAGGCGACCACCGAAAGAACCTGGCCTGGTCCCTGGAGTCACCATACAGCTGGCTCAAGTTCTCCTCCACCTCGGGAACGCTCTCCAGCGAGCTGTCCCAGCAGCGACTCAACGTCACAGTGGACTGGAGCGAGGTGCCAGAGGGCTTCGACGAGACGTTCGACGTGCGGATCGAATGGGAGCCCGCGCCCTACTTTGACAACCTCGGCATCTCAGTCAGGAACCTGCGAGTCCCAGCCGACTTCTCCGGGTTCCCCGAGGTCAACAACGTCATATCCATCGAAGCTCCTCACTTCCAGCGCTCCTCCAGGACCCCATCCAACTCCTCCTCGTCCGCCTCCGAGGAGGACGGTGTGGGCTTCAAGATCATCCCCCACCTCGGCACACGCAGCGAGTCCGGCTCGCTCGCCCTCCGTCCCTTCCAGGCCGCCCGCGAGGACAGCTCCGCCACGCAGCAGGCCTGGGTCGACTACGACATCTACCTCTTCGGCGAGCTGGCGGGCGCCCTCAGCGCCACCCTCTACTTCAACGGCGCGCTCGACACGGACCCCGATTTACCCCTTGCATACTCCCTCGCTCTGGACGACAGTGGGGACACCGGCAGCTTCACGAGGCTGCTCGAGGACCCCGAGGTGGTTGGCGATCTGCCTGCGGACTGGGAGGAGCGTGTGGCGGACAACGTGTGGAAGAGAACCGTGGATTTCGGCGGTGAGGTCGCGCCGGGGAAGCATACCCTGCGATACCGAGCAACTTCCCCCGAGCTGTACCTGGAGAAAATTGTGGTTGAGTTCAGGGGGACGGCGAAAGATTCGTACCTAGGCCCCCCGGAAACGAGGTTTGTGTGAGTGGGATAAAGGATATCTATTTCTCGGTCAATTATGTAGGAACAGTAATGGCCACATCGTGTATCTTCTGTCCTCAGTTTTCCTCCAACTAAGATGGGGGAGCCGTTTTCGCGTTGGACATGCCGAACTGCCTGCTTCACTCCTGTTGGGACTATGATCACCCCACGTGACCCCCTTTTCATTGCGCCTGCGCAAGCTATCGTAACATTGATGAATGTATATTTCGTCCATCAAGGTCGGTATTTTATACAGGCTTTCGGCCTCATGCTCCGACGGTCACTCCGTCACCTGACCGGTTTCGACCCATATGCTATTTTATCAAAGAAAAGCGGCTCGTCTCTCCACCCCCAAAGCCATATGGGACGGCTATTGAAGACAATAGTATGCTTGCTGGTACGTTGATGTATTCGAATATGCGGGAACGTAGACCCCGCCCCAGCCCCCAGAACTCCGTGAACACAGATAATATATACAGATGCGGTGGTAGAATATATAAAGTGCCGCCCAACTCCTTTCGTTTCTTGATGCTTCAGGTATCCTCCATCTAATGCCATGTCT